AATGTCGACTAGGTACATGAGAGAACGAGGTTTTGAGACATTCTAGGCGAATATCTCCGTGAAAGGAAGTTATAGGAAACAATGAAAGCAAAGAGGAAAGTAATAAAAGATAAAGGGACCGGGAGAAAATTTAACCGAGACAAAGATAGTTTGAAACTGTACGAAAGAGAAAAAGTAGAAAGATTAAACGTGAAATACATAGACGAGGGATGAAAATTTCAGTGAGAAGACTCGCGAGTCGTTGTAGAGAGGAACAGATGAAAGTTTGAGCAAAAGGAGAGAGAAGTAGACGGTAAAGTACGAAGAGATATAAAAATTTAGGCGACACAGGGAAAGTTATATAAAAGGAAAAGAGAGGGAGGGTGGAATTGAAGCATGAAAAATAGAGGAGACTAGAATTTCAACGAAACTAGGCGAATTTTAAATATCAAATTTTCGGTCACGAAGGAATAATTTATTTTAAAGCAAGATACGATAACAATAAATCTGCTATCTTGATCGATATCGATCCTCACTGAAAAGTTAAATAGATTTTGAAAGAGGTAGACGAAGCATAAAATATTGAAGCGTTAGAAAAATTTCAGGCAAAACGAGGACACGCGGTAGCCGAACGAAAGAAAGAGGACGAGGAAGCATAAAAAAATGAAAGGAGCGGAGAGGAAATTTTGTAGGAACGCGTGAAGAGAATGAAGGGTGCAAAGAGGACACTAAGAGAATAAATTGGCGGGAGGGGAAGAAAATGAGAGTGCACGAAGAAAAAAGAAGAAAGCGTCGGAGCCGTTTTTGCCGTCCAGAAATATATTTGGCTCGGGTTCTTCTTCCGTTCGCAACGCGCGCCCGCTGCCGGAAAACTCAAAGCGTTTACCCTCGTGGAATAATTAAATCGACGAACGGTGGCCAAGAAACCCCCGAGAGAATGGCAAAAGGGTCGACACGACGTCGCGAACCTACACCGTACGCGTCACGAGTCGAACTTGCACGAAATTTACTTACTTTCCCTCTCTATCGTTTTTACGTTTCTATGCGCTTCGTTGTCCGTCAATACGCTCGTCAACGCTCCATTTTCACAGCTTGTTGCTCTCTTCGAACAAATTGTTTCCAATTGGTCGGTGCTTGATTAGCTTCGAATGTCAAATTACGGGTACTACTGTCACGGGAAAGCATAAACTCTCAAATAAGAAAAATTAGTCTTATTATACATTGGTTTACTAGATAGAATTTTCCATAGGGTGATCGTTCGTCGTGTATGTAAAAATTGCGAAATCTCTCCTGATAACATTGTTCAAATGGAAAGATTTGAATATGCACGACGGTTAGGTTTGAGCTTCTTCGCGAAAACGGCCAAGAGTCTTTGTCTCTTCCTTATTGTCATAATTCGAGCATGTTTAATCGACTAATCGGCCACGTGGGAGTGAGAGGCGACAAAGCGGAATGTCGAGTTGAAGTTACGACGGGAAGAGAAAGAGGGACGCGTCGAGCCGCGAATTAAATCTCATTATTGTTGCGAAAGGTATAGCTTGACCCAGTGACACGAAGAAGAGGAGGATAGGACTTGAACGTGGAACAAAAAAACCACGGACAATAGCGAATTTCAATGGCCTCGAACACATTGTATCGAGCAGAATGGTGTTCTCTTTCTTACGTGTGACGTTGCTTCATTTGCGAGAAAATTTATCCAAACGACGCACGCTAAATCTTTACGTAATTTCGAAAAGGTGTTCGAAAGTCGCGCTCGGGTTTATAAAAAGCAGACCAGACGTTTTATCCGATATTCGTACTCGATGTAGCCGAATGGTATAAATTTGATTGACTTAGCTCGATCAATATTCACGGGTAGACGAACGTTGGTCGACGAGGTCGTTCGCCAAGTTACAATTTTAGATCTGGACAGATTGAAAGAAGGATTGTACGCTGGGAATATCGCGAACCGAGGATCTCAGCGGGTCGATTCACGAATTTACGTTTCGTTCGATTTCGCGTACGAGGGAATTCGTGTCTAAAAATACGTTTGACCGTAAGTCAAGCAGCATTTCGGTGTCGACGATCAAACTGGCTAAGAACAAGGCTTCTCTGCACGATCGACTCGTAACTGTCGATCTCGACAAATTCCTGAATCACAGTTGAAAGATTCGTATTTTCTGGATCGAGTCGCCTGTCAAGTTTTCTCGCTACGATTAGCTCTTGACGAGTTATTTAAACCAGCGAAAATATAAGAAACTTTTAGGCTTTCAAACCATCGACAACTTTTGACAACGTCAAAACTCCGAGAGACGTCGAACACTCGGTAACTCCCACTCAATTTATCGGAAAGTGTTTAAAGAACTTTGTTTGGAACCCGTCTTCTCGTCGATAATCGCTTTTATCACGCCCATTTCCTTCCTTTGTCGCGACGAATACTTCGAAATTCAATGAGAATATAACGATTTAATATTTTCCCGTTGGCTGGCTATTAAAATCGATGGTCGTCCTTGTTCGCATGGAGAACGCACGCTTATCCTTGAAATCTACTTTTTCCTCTGTTTTCTTTTTTCTCAAACATGTTGCATTAAGAAACTATTTATAACAACACCACCCTCCTCACCTCGGATCGTGAAATTGAACTAATTTTCTTCGTGATGGTCACGCTTCGACTCGCGAGATCCATACTCTTCCAAGCACGTCGTTCCACTTTCATCGTTGGATGATAAGCAAATTAAAGGTTCGCGAAAAGTGTTCCATAGCTTACTGATTTTCATCATGACATTCTCGAAAAGCAACGGTATAACTGGAAAATTGCAAAATCGTGCGTAATATCGAGTACAACTCACAAGTTTATATTTCTCGAAAATTGACGGCAGTTGTCTATCATGCGCACAAGATTATCCGTGATACGCGCAATAACCGATAATTGCATGGTTCATAATGAAAAGGACATAGAATCTAATAATGCATCGGCCCCGTGTGTCCAACGTAGGAGAAACACTTGAAACTTTCTTAATGGAAAAACTTCGTTTTCTTTCTAACCCCACCGTGTACTGGTTCGCGTAGAGGATGTGGACGCGGAACACGATAGAAATTAAGAAATATTTAATTATCGGATATTCGATGGTTTATTAAAGGAGCAACGAAATAGTTGATCGTCTAAAGATAGCAAAGAAAAGAGAAGAGAAGAGAAGAAGTATGTATAAGGGGAGGAATGTTGCGTATACGCGGAAACCTGGTGTTACGTGTGACTGGTCGTCCCGATCATGGGATTGACACCGTTTACAGCGTATCGATATTGGCTCGGCCGCTATTTTTAGTGGGTCGTATCGTATTCTAACGATGCAAACCGCAAACGTGACCGAGTTATGCGACACGACTTGCTCACGTACCTTACGTACAAGCTACGAACGAACAAAGCTACCTAGGTATATGCGCGACAAACGAACCATTACGATCCTAGCTTATCGATAAGCCTACGATCGGTTCTTTGTGTCCATTTAATAGCGTTTCGAAATATTCACGAATAGATGAACCGAATGCGAGATCGTGTGTCTTTACAACTATGTATGCGAGAGTCAGACAACTGGAATATGTGTTCTTTTTCAAACAGAATTTCGAACGAAACAGCAAGGTCGCGGACAGATTACCGTAAAGGAATCGTTAGAACGTCGAAAAGTGAAAAAATCGAGGTCGAGTGGAGCATAACTTATTTTTATCGAGTCGATGTTCGCGCCGTTACGATACTCTATTATTTCGAAAGGCTTCTTCGCTCTTTCGTGCCGCGAAAATGTTCGGTTTCAAGATTACATCATATTTCGTAAAGAATTTATACTTCTAGCTTGTTGCGTAATCTGTTATCCCTAGCGAGCGATATATTTAGAGGAATGCCCCAACTACAAATTTACGAACGTGGGTAGATCCAGGAAGTGGAAGGTCGGCGGTGATTAGAAATCAACGTAGCCCCGCTGATTTGCTAGTTATTAAATACTGAATTTCAGAAGGTGTCTCAAAGTGGCCATGTAACGCGTGGCAATATCTCCGGATCACCGTACCTCTGTGAAACGAGCATTTTCGTTTTCGGTCAACAATGGGTTATTATCCGTAATGTACCGATGTCGATGGATCGTTGATAACGCGAATCAGCTGAAAGATTAATGTCGCAACACGTCTTCCAGAGATGCAAGACAAAACAACTAGCACAGCAGGCTTTGTCCAACCTAAAAGGCGACACTCTATCGGTACTTTCACCCTGCATTGCTACGCGTATGCAAATGCGTGCGTACGATCCGTGACCAGACGCGCGTTCACGGCTTCGCTGCTGCTCGAATCGTTGGAAGCCGCGTACATTTCACGTTCCTCACGTTTTTCCTTTCCTCTTGCTCCTCGTCCGCGCCTTCCTTCCTTGCCCTTCCCCTTTCGGTCCGAGGAAAATTTGTATTCCCAAAGCGGAGCTTTCTTTGTCTCTGACCACTAAGCGTGCGTTTGGCAACTCTCTGACGATGATTCTTCGAGATCTCTTCCATACACACGTTCTCGATGTCGGTGACTTCGAAGAAATACCCGGCCGACCGTGTAGTACGCGTTGCCAAGCCGTTTCAATTTCCATGCTTTTACGTAAACCATCGCTAGATAAGAATTTGTTACGCTTTCCCCTCGCTGGAATTATTTCTTGATGGATATCTTCTGTTCGTATTCTGGATGGCTATCTTTGTTTCGTATTCCACGACGCGATCTCGCGGACTCACGCGATTCACGATTTGGTCATTCATATTATAATCGTTTCGAATCAATTAGTCGCAGAATAGATTATATACTTACGTAACTGATTGTATTTTAAGTACAGGCGATGGTCACTAGACTCTGACGCTATCGTAGATCATCTCTAATTACGTAGACCGTGCCGGCGACAGATACGATTTACATGTACCATTGTATGTAACCAGCACGCTACCCATTTCAGAGCACGTATCGCATCCGAAAATATATCCACACGTGGCTCGTGGTATAATCGTTAATTTATATTTATCTTTTTTCAGATCAATCTCGATATCCAATAGCTGCGGGTACGACGATGTAGCTCGATCGCCACTGGCTCGTGATCTTCGACAATCGAATACCCCGCTGGTGGCAGTGATCGCGTACCTCCTCTATAATTAAACCATATAATGTCAACAGTGAACTCTACCTCTGGTCCAAGTGCATCCCGAACCGTCTGACCGGCAAGACACTCTCCATTGTTTCGTATCGTTCGTAAGGAGACCTCGAATTCGAAAGAACCAGAAGGAAGACAGTGAAAAAGAGACAATGGGGGGTTCGATGGGCGGAGCGAGAATCTCGTGGAGCTCGTGTCGACCGTTGTCGCGATGGAGAACGAGATTCTTGGGCCACTGGGCCTGAGATATGCCAGCATCGGTTAGCTCGGTGATCACGGAAGCAGCATCGTCGTCGTCGAGGCTGAGGACGGAAACGGCGGTGTCGGGCAGCGTAGCTGGCCGCCAGCTGGCCAGGCTAGAAATCGAAACGATCGAACGCCGGGTCTGCGCGACCCGACGCGATCTCTTCGTTCCCGTAACCGTCGATCCGCGTCCGAGTCGAGCCGTTCATTGCCCGGACCTGAACGCCTGTCTGGTCAACGAGTCTCGATCAGGAACGGATCAGGTCGACTGTCAGGCCATCCATTTCGGTTACGCCATTCCCGTGAACGTGGTGCCTCTGGAGAGTAATCCTGACTTGGTGGAGCTGGTACTGGACCATTCGACGGAGTTGAGCAGAAGAACGGCGAGTTTCCTGCTGGAACATCATCCCCAGCTGCGTCAACACACACAGGGACCTAGCCAGGCGCAGCAGGAAACCTGGAGCATGGCTGCGACGGCCAAACACGACCTCCGTCGCAAATTCCCCACGGACACTTCGACCTCGGGCGACGAGGACATCGCCGCGATCGCGAAACAGATCAGCGATCACGCGGAGGCGATCTACCAGACCTGGAAGAGTCGAGGTCTGGCTCCTACCGAAATCCTGAACTGCCACAGCAATGCCACGGCAGCGGACAAGTTCGGCACCGCCCTCACTCCGACCTCTAGCCCGAACAGTACCGGGAAAACCACCCCCACGACGCCTACCTCCGCACCCACGGTGGACATACTGACCCAAGCACCCAGTCTGGACAACGGGAATCTGGAGAAGTTAGTCAACAACTTCGTGGTGGAGGATAAGGCCAGGATCGCCGCGTCCAGACAGAGGTCGCCGTCCAAGACACTGCCTTCGTCGATACAGTTCGCGCTGCAGAAGTTCGAGAGGAACTCGACGCAGCAGCAACAGCCGCAAACGTCGCCTCTGAAAAACAGTAACGTTGCTAGCCAAGCTAAGACGAAACAGACCAGTTTGCTGTCTCCCACGTCGCCGTTCGCGAATAAACCCTCGCAGATAGTGAAGCCTCAAGTTGCCACCAAGACTCCCGGTGCTCATCATCGAGAAGTCTTTTTGGAGACGATCGAGACCACCTTCCCGGCGGACATAACGCCGTCGAAGATCGCGGTGCAGCAGAAGAGGCCCACGAGTACCGTCATCACGTCCCCGAATCTCGACGAATCCTCCATGAACTCTGGTCTGACCACGTGGCCCCTGAAGAACAAGTTGAACGAAGGTAAAAGGATAACGGATCCTTCTGCCAGGTCCCCGCAGGAGAGCAAGGTTTTAATAGTCAAGGAAGAGAAGAGAAACGTTGGTTCCAATTCGAGCGTCTACCTGGACGAGGTGGCTCGCGAAGAAGAAAGACTGATAAACGCGCTGAAGACTGGCTCCGTGATCACGGAGGAGCCTACGGAAAGGACGGTGCCGGCTCTGGGTCGGCAGAAACCCGCGATAAAGCGGGAGAAGCCGAAAGTGGAGCCGGTCAAGCCCATAATCATCGGTCACAATCACCATGCCGCGGGTTTGGTGCCAGCCTCCGCGGCTATGGTGAACAACGTGGTCGCGACGCCTCCTGGAGCCACCTCGACAGGCGCGACCGACGCGAAAGCCCTCAGCAAAGACGATTTGTCTAACATGTCAGTGGTGGATTACGCGAAAGTGAGATACAGAGCGGCTCAGCAGAATCCACCGACGCAGCAGAGGCTGGAGGAACAGAAGACGAACAACGGACCCGCGTTTAATGCCACGGAACAGTTGGTATCGACCACCAGGTCCAAGTTCGAGACGGAGATACGGAAGGATAAAGAGGCTAACAAGGAGGAGAAAGATCCTGTGACGTCCAGGTGGGGACCCAGGATTAACTCTCCCAGGCCGAGGATCGAACAAGTGCCTCATCCTGAACTAACCACGCAGCAGAAACAGCACATCAGAGCTGCTGCTGCAACTGGAACCGGAAATAACCCTATCAGACCCTTCCTCACCAGAGGATCTGTCGCGGAACGCGTGCTTATCTTCGAGAAGTGTCCGAGCGAGTTGTTGCTCGATAAACGGGGACCACGACAACCTGCTATCAACACCTGGAGAACTGGACACGAGGTTCAAAACAAGGCTCAGGTAAATTGTTGGTTGTTTAGCGATTTCTCTTTTGTTCGAATTCAGAATGGTTTAAGAATAAATAACGCTTGTCAAACATTATTACATAGCGCTTGTTGAAGATTTCATTTAATTAAATCGGGCTCGTTTTTTTATATTATTATATACGTGTTCATTCTTCGGTTATTTTTGTGTCGATCGAAAATATGAGAAAGTTACAATAATAGGAAATACGAGATACGGTGCCACGGTCGTGATTTAAAGTAGAAATGATCAGATTTTGCAGAAGTATATTTTAAAATTTCGAAATCGCGTATAACACGAAACAGAACGAGTGCTTGTCACGTTCGGTTTCCGAGAACAAGTTTAATTCGGCCGGATGAGATGGTCGAATTGATGAAGCCATGTCGAGCAGCTACACGATCGGGAAGACGTGCGAGAAGCTCACGTTCTTGCTACTCTTGCAAGCTTATATCGGGCGTTTTGGTCGCCGTCCAAATTCCTCTTCCCTGGGAGGATGTTCGACCGGTCGACTCCTGTACTTTTGTCTCGAAACGAGTTCAAGATCTCTTTCGCGTAGAGGTCGTTTCTGCATGCCTTGTGCTTTCTCTTCGAACATCGTTCAAATCTCTCCCCTGTTTCCTTTGAACCCCCTCTTTGTCTCTCTAAGCGATCTAAAAAAAAATAATAAGTGCCCATATTTCTTAGAAGCAGTACCGTTCGAAATAGCAAGAAGTCGAGATTTTCAAAGTTCTAAATCTGCAAGCTCGTAAATTTGAAAATTCAGCATTTCACAACGTTATAGACGTTACGAATATCCATTTCGGTATGAAGATTAGATGGCTCTTACAAAACTCGCAATATTCGTGTTACAATGAAAGAACATGTTTGAAGAGTAAAAGAAAAACGTAGATCCAGAGCGATTAAGAAAGTGATTCTGGAGCCTCGCCAGAAAGAAGGGAGGAATATACCTAACATGGCATGTGCCTGCCAAAAAAGGTTTACCTTGATCGAACATAGACAATTACGATACAATTGTTTTCGAGTGCTACCATTATAATTGTCAGCATTCGTTACCTGATTTATCGTACGGAAGCGTATGCGATTTTAATCAGTGGCGGTTCTTCAGGTAGCTTAGATCGCGTTAATCGCGAGCTATACATCGATGCGATAAGCCACGATCTTCAAACGCGGTTGCTCAATGCTCGAACAATGCATGTCGCTCGAGGGCTTGGCTGTGGCATTGTTATTAGACGGCTATTGCGTTCCTATTGTACCTCGAGACGAGCAAGCCTCGATTTTACTCGAAGAATTTTCTCTCAGCCTCTATAGCCTTTCACGATTTTGGAACGACGACGTTGCGACCTGTTTTCTTTCTGGGTCAACTATTAGGTAAATTCGACGTTATCGTCGTTTGGTACTAAAGTAACACTTTGAGCGAGCAGTATGCTGATATACCGTTACTTTTTGTATCGTCGCTATTAACGATTGCTAAGAAATTATATAATCCTATCTTGTAGAGCACTTTGTACATGGTAAAATGATGGAAAATCGCAATAGACCGCGAACGTTGTAAACGAACGATTCTGATTGACTTTCGGTAACTTTCCAAGAAAAAAACATGAATGAAAATCGTCGCTGGAAAAAGTTCAGACGAGCGGTAACACGTTAAACAACAAGATTCCTTGAATTTCATCTGCATCGAGAAACACGTGGATATTTATGGATGCAACGAGTGCAGAGGCTGCATCGATTCTCGTCGCTTGGTTGCCTCTTACTTTGTACAGAGCTACCTGATGAAAATTCACGCTCTTTCAAGAGCAAAAGCAACTGATACCGGCGAGGCTGAAAATGCAAATTTGTATAACATTAACAAAAGTAACCGGATTAAGATCGGATGACCGGTAAGGTGGAAAAATAGCCGCAGCGTTATGACGAACAAAAGTCCTCGTTTAAATTAATTTAACAGAGGAGAAAGAGCGGGAGGTGTCTCGTAGTTTGGTCGTCGCTGACTCACTGCTCGCTTTTCGTTGCGATTAATGTTATTCGACCTCGAGAAAAAGAAATAAGCGCGCAAGGGACGCCGAGGACCACCATGGCCATAAGTGGAAACGATAATCGAAACTCGACTTATCGTCACGGTCCGCTTAAATAACACTCCAATTCGTGATATACGTTTATTAATATCCACAGACTAATTATTTATAAAGACCGGAGATCGTTAATTTTATCTGATTGCCCGGCGATCATAAAAATTTAAGTCCTTTTAAAGCCTTCGAAAAGTGATCGTTACTTAAAAAAACAGTCAGAGGATAGTTTTATATTTACGAGCATTATGCTTCGCTGCGAACGAATCCCATACATTGTGATCCATATGTTATAAAACCCTTTACAAATTCAAAGGAAAACAAGTTCTAAAACTCATCAAGCCACCCACGTTAAAAGCTCGCAAATAGAATATCGAATGCTATTCGCTTCATCTGGAATATTATCAAAGAGATCGTTAGTTTCATCTGATTACCCAACGATCGTTCTTAATCGTCGCTTAGTTGAAATTGCGGGGACTAATTCAGCCCCAAGGCGATCGCGCAGTCATCAACGTTCCAGGTATCTGGGTAATTAAAATTCCCATTTGAAACGACTTCGCGACACCGTTGTGCATCACCGGCTATCCCTCCGCTCGATATGGGAGAACAAGAAGATTCTGAGAGCGCGTGAGATCGGTAGCGAGTACCTCAAAGGAAAATAGGAAAAAGTTCACGCGACTGCCCTTGCTTCGAACGGCGAGAAATCGTTTTCTCGCGGCATATCTGCGCCGGCTGACTGACTCATTGTAGCCGTTCCATATTGGATATCGTGCTAGATTTTAAAAGGCCGTCGACTGTCGCCTTGAAGCCTGCCTCTATCGCCGCTTATGGTCGAAAAATCGTTCTCCAAGAGGTGGAAAGTTCGCGGCTGAGAATGTGAACGTTGGAATAACGAAAACCAGGAAGAAAATACTCCTCGATGACCTTTAATAATGCCGCACCGCGTGTGGCTCTTATTGTTCGTAAGCGGTGAAACATTCCGAAAAAATCGATCGAGTCGTCGCTTTTCTTCCGAAGGAGTCGCTCGATATCGCATCTGAATTCCGAGCATTTTATGTCCATACTCGGAACCACCTGTAATCGACACCACCCACAATCGTCGTTATCCAGGTGAATACTACGCACATCCGGCGCTACCTCTATGTTCGAATCTTTGCAGCCATTTATAGATATGAAAGAATAGGATAGAATTACGAAGGTTAAGCATTCGGTAACGAAACAAAGGTAGTCCTTGATCGATTGGCAAGAGCGAAGCTGATCGAGAGGCGCAGTCAAAATCGCAATGCCCATCGCGAACGCTGATTGACGGTATCCCGTGTGTCACCCAGCGAACCGTGCCAAACCGAGCTCGCAATTATCGCGATCGACGTGTTTCGTCTAACCGTCCCCATATCGCGCGTTTCCTATCGATGCAGTTCCAGGATTTTCATCTTGGAGTCGTTGTCTAGCTCGTGTCGTTTCACGCGATGTATTCAGCGGTAAATTTTGACGTTAAGAAACGAAATAGTTAGCACGTGGAAAGATTTTCTCGTTGCGTGTTTACGATGTACGTATGCAGATAAGGGGAGGCTCGTGATGTAAGCAATCATAGTCGCATAAGCGAGGCGCGGCGCGGCAATGCATTAACCGCGTTGGCCGGCATCTTTGCATTCTTCGGATCCTTTGCGTCGCGTAACAGGATGTCGTGTCCTTGGCGCACCGATACGTCCAACGCGAAGCGTACAATCGCGCTAAAATGTGTCTCTATCGAAGAATCACGCCTTCGTAGTTCCCTCTTATCGTCATCGATGATGCGCTCCGATAATCGGTATCAACAAATCAATCTCCGTTAGGTAAAAATGATGTAAAACTTTACGAATTCTTCGAAAATTCGTCGATCGGTCATGGATTCATAGATTATCTCGTTATTTTCGACTCGTGAAACTGCCGACATCCGATTGAATATTTTTTTGGCGCGAAAAAAACACGTTCATCCTGCGACCAACAGCGTATAATTGAACTAGAATTAAGCGCAATTCGTCACACCGGCGTCCTTTGTTTGTAACGAGTAAATGGAATTGCGTAACGTGCGCGAGAGGAAATGTACACGTTGTCTGTTACAACTTGTTCTTTTACAACGTTTTTTTGATTGGAACGTTAAAAAAAGAAATAAAGGAATTATATCAAAAAATGAATAAGAATTTTCACAGATTACTAATAACATATTCAGTACAATATGCTATGCTTTAATTATTTATATTCTATCAATGATGTGACTCTCACAGTACCTAGCATGTTAAGTAGATCCAACACCATGGATTTACGGTTCCAGAGAAGTTTTCACTGCTTAGTTAGTTTCTCACGAACGATGCCTGTTGATTCTAGACGTACGCGAAAGACAAGACACAGCAAAAGAGCTTGCCACCGCACACGACGCTCCAGAGGCACGTGAAAGCGAACAGAAACGTTCACATACCACGGTAAACTTTGATACGGAACACAAAGAACCGATATCCTACAGCGATTCGATACAAACTGAATTATTAAATTATACTTCAGATTTTACTTCCCCGGGGGAAAACCTGTGCCACTGTCTCAGATCGAAGCAACTATCTCCAAGATCACTGCTGCTTTTCAAGCTTTACCTGGTCATCGTGCCTCTCGTGGTCAATTTCATACCATCACCAAGGTAAAAGGATAACATGGAGTATTAACTTAATTCGCTTACTATATGATAACTCAAAAAAGTTCAGTACCAATATGCCATTTATTTTTTATATATATGCATCGCATTCGCGAATGACCTACATTAAAAATTTCTTCAATAATACAGAATTCCAACCTAACCGCAATAACGAGGCTCGTTAAAAGTTTCACGAACGATTGCTTTCTTTCTATTTATTTGTTCACGGTTGCGACGAAACTCGGAGCGAATTGATCGGCATTTTCCAAGCACTGTTTACGTGGGAAAGCAAAAGACTCGTTGTGCTCGAAAAGACGTGTACAAAGGATATGATTTGTCTTACAGGCATGCGACTTGCCGCTCTACTGGAAAGTGCCGCTTTTTCTCGCCGCTGGAGGAGATCAGACTGGATACGTCGAGATGAATGCGTTCCTTGAATTTTGGAAAGAGTAAGCGTCCAAATATTTCCATTGGTACCACTAGAAATTGTATTACCACTCGTTCAATCGCCATGCATTGGACCAGAAAAATTTCCTTCAAGTTCACGAATACAATATAGTTCTCGATTGCAGATTGTCGAACACCCACCACGATGCGGCGAGTAAGTTTATCAGAATCACAACCCGAGGCCAAAGGAACAATATACTCCCAGAGGATTTAATCCCGTTGGTGCAAGACGTGGTCGAAACTCACCCTGGTTTAATTTTCCTGAAAGAGGCTACTGAGTTCCATTCACGCTACGTACACACGGTTCGTTATTCGCGCGATAAATATTTGTCGGGTATTTCTTTGGCTGAACAAGCAAGAAGCTAGTAGAAGGACAGAGAAAGAGAGAAAGATTCCATCGATGATGAGCCGCGGTTTATGCAACGAGAATCCTCTTGAATTATTCAAGATAATCGTGTTCGCCTCGTGCAATTATCGTTTTAACAAGTGGACACAATACCACTTCATCTGAACTCCTCATCCGTGGAATTTATTCTCTCCTTTTTTCCATCAATTAGCTTCTGTAGTTGCACGGTCAGTTTGTCATGTCTCGACGTCGAATGTCTGCTTGAAAAGTTTATTTGCATTCAACGTTCTCGAAAGACGTTTGAGCTTTTATTTCATGGATTTGCATTGCAGGTGATTGCCAGGATATTTTATTGCGTAAACCGAAGCTGGAGCGGAAAAATCTCCGTGGCTGAACTGAGAAGAAGCAACCTACTATCGGTGATCGCGATTCTGGAGCACGAGGAAGATATCAATCAAGTTACTGCATACTTCAGTTATGAACACTTCTACGTTATATATTGTAAATTCTGGGAATTGGATCGGGATCACGATCTGTTCATCGATAAAACGGACCTCACAAAACACAATGATCATGGTGAGACCGTATTTCCTTATCAAAAATCTTTCCTAGAATCTATGCTAAGTATCGAGAGTAACAATATACAATCGATTAAATTATATTTTAGCTCTGTCGAAACGTATGATTGCAAGAATATTCAGCGGCGCTGTGACAAGAGGTGGTATGAAAAGTGGGAACGCTGTCCAGCAACCACAAGACAAGATGAGCTATACAGAGTTTGTATGGTTCTTGCTAAGTGAAGAGGACAAAAACCATCCGACTGCGATCGAGTATTGGTTTAGGTACAATATACAGTATCTGGTATATACATTGTACAAATACGTATATAGCAGAGTTTATATTGACGGTGATCAACAGGTGCATGGATCTCGATGGAGACGGTTACTTATCGATGTATGAATTGGAATATTTTTATGAAGAACAGTTGCATCGTATGGAAGCAATTGGAATTGAAACGTTACCCTTTGAGGACTGTCTCTGTCAGGCAAGTCTTGTCTAATCGTTGTTAATGGTTAATAAATAAAGAGACACCTATTTTATTTGTGCATTAAAACCATCACTTTTGTGATTCACACAAATATTCAAAGTTTATTCTTTTGTGTACTAAATACAACATTTTAATAAGTTTTATTTGTTATCTAAGTAAAGTTTTTTATAAAATGTTGCAGATGCTGGACATGATCAAACCAGAAACGCCAGGAAAGATATCTCTGAGCGATTTGAAGAAATGCAAGATGACCTCAATCTTCTTCGATACGTTCTTCAACCTTGAAAAGTACCTGGATCATGAACAAAGAGATCCCTTCGCATCGGCTAGAGAACATGATCCTGATGGTCACGAGGTAAATCTTCGACAATCATTTAACGAAGCTTATATCTGTTTCCTAAAGAAGCCTACCGCAATTTTTATTACGTATACGTAGTGAGACATATTGAAATTCTAATTATTAAATCTTGTTTCTTTTGTAACAGCTGTCAGATTGGGATCGATTCGCAGCAGAGGAATACGAATTATTGGTTGCTGAAGAGAGCGGCAACGAACAGAACGAGCAAATGTAAGTATTGACGTTAAGTGACTCGTAAAGAACACACGGTTCATCTATATTACATAATCGCGTATCATCTTCATCTAATTACACCACCCTCATTATCGTTAACTAACGAACAATTATGTTATGAAATTAAAAATTATGGAACGAATAGTTGACCAATATACCAAGAGAAATTGAACGTTATTCCGCAATGTAATGGATGAACCGGACCGATGGTTTCTGTAGAAAGTCCTGGCTTACAATTTCAAGCTATGAAACGGAACTCATAGCTTTCGAATTGTGGCATGCTTTGTCGTTAGGTAGACAGTATGCTCCCCGTTATGGGACCTAACAGTTTCACCATGTATTTTTGACCGTAATGATAATGGTACGATATATGCGTTTGTTGCAGGCTGTGTGATGATGAAATGTAAACCATCATCAGCAGCTCAGTAAGTAAAGAAATATAAAAAGGGAAAGACAGAATTGCATGGTATGGCGATGCACGTGTATGCATAATATATTAATGGAGGGTTGGTTAACCGCTTATTTATTTATTTTTTCCGCCTTTATTACTCATGCTCTTGAATATTGTGTATCATTCGAATGTAATTCGTGTAGTGTTGTACACGATAAATTATTCATTTTGTTTCGCTTGAGGAAATTATGATATGCCAAGAATATATGAATCGTTAATTAATTGTTATCTATGCGTTTATCTCTTGATATATAGAATTTGGAATTTTTCATTTAGAATAATGAAATTTGAACATAAAATTTCAAATATATCTTTCGTAATCGTTTCGTACTTCATCTTTTCATTTTCATTCTTACGCTACATATAATCATTTGTTTATTGCTACAAATGTTTCAAATTTTGGTGAATAGTATTTTGAAGGTTTACAACTTCGTTTTGCATTCAAAAGCAAGAAACCATTTGTATAGACCATTAACAAGCACCTTATTTCTTTGCTTTTACTAAAGCGTGATCTTAAGTTGCATCGTTTTCAAGTGGCTAATCAAGGCTCGAAGTACAGGGTTTCTCAAATTTTTGTGGATCGAAAACCAGTTTCGATAAAAAAAATTTTTCACGGGTCACTCGCTTGTAAATTTGAACCTACACTTTGGGAATCTCTGTTCTAAAACGTTTTGCATTGTAGAGTAGTTAATCCACTGATAGTCTCCTATTTTAGTTAACTCCCGAGTATTAAAAACGTTATTCAAAGGATTTATTTAATTGAAGAAACTCGATCTTTCCTCAGGTCATACGATTGTCTACCAGAGGATGTATTCTCTCGAAACTTGGACATTCTGGATGGCGAATCGGCGGATTTGCTTCAGCATCCAGACATTCAATTCTCGGGACATCCTGACAGTCTGTCGACGGTCAGTCAGTCGGATACATTTCGACATCAAGCCAGAAGTCAATATTATGATAGCGGTGACAGCGATGATTACGCCGAAAGCGACAACTAATCGTTTCCTCGTTTGCGAATGCAAGGATGTTTGGAAAAACTGAACACGTCGTTGCAAAGAAGAGAAATATTCTATTTTCTCGAAGCAACAGTAGTTTAAACGTGTAGTTATCCTCTGTATAATTAAGAGAATCGTGTAATCTCATCATAAACTACCGTACTAACGATGGCAGAGCGATTCTCAGTGGATTTCCGTATCATTTTTTATTGGGGGATCGTTAGATACGAATCTATTCGGTGACCAGATTCGAATCACCGCCCTGAAGTACAAAGATATCCGAGACTCGTTGATTTTACCGTTCCCCGTAGATGAAGAAACGTTCGAACAATTTTAGTAACGATTTCCACGTGACGAAAATGGAGATTGACTTGAAAGCTTGACGTTTTTAAAAGTAGAGGATACACTTTTCATCGAAGTATTTGGAGTAGAAACGTCGATAGCGTTTTCGTAATAGAAACATGTCAAAAATTGAGCAATCTATACACAGAAGTGACCTGTAATCCTGTTTACAATCGGGAAAGGCTCAATATCACCGAATCGATCCGTACCTATGAATAGTCTGGGGATAGAAATCAGGCCACGATGTGATAAACGGGCCGCCATTGTTCAACTTATCATGATATACATATTGTGTACTTCACATTGTAAATAGACAGCAAATCATGGACCCTTATTTTTACTTAAACGTGTGAGAGTCATTTGAAATTGCGGCTCTTTCAATTGCTGCAGCCGTTCGTTAGCGTGTTGACTGTTATGGGAGTTTCCTGCGACCGGAACAATGGAAAAAAGGAAGAACATTTTGAATACTACAGAAATTATGCAAATTGCCAGTCAACGTGTTAAAGAACTCTGAATCTGTAGCTCTAGAAACATTTTCGTAAAGGATCGGATACCTGGTCTGTTCTTACAGTTTTATTCTCGTGAACTACCCTTTTTCTAGCCCAAAGAAGTCATATTTTTTAGACGAAACAAAAAGAGAGAAAGGAAATTCTGCGAGCATATACACCCTCTGCTTCTCTCGAGAAGAGAATTCACAGTTCGAGGCTGCAACAACTGGAAATTGCGCGTAAAAGGATACGCTGACACGAAAAAAGAAACGTTTTGTCCTTCTGTACTTGTCTTATACGTCATTAGTATTACGCTGTATGCGACATTAATTGCACGCACGATAATGTCGCTCGAGAGGTTCCAAAGCGAGAATCGTGGCAAAGTATTCGTCTAATTGCACGTAGAGTACTCGTAAATGAGTGTTCGTCTTCTTTTTGTCGATGGTCGCAGACTGCTTCGGGCATTGCCAGCCGTTTCGTTTACCATTTGGAAGTAGGTTTGTACCGAGACGATAGAGTAACAAACCAAAGACGCGAAGCTAGGAGAGGAAAATAAAAAAAGCAAAAAACAGAAAAATTCTGAACGGAAGTCGTGCTTAAACGATACATAACACATCGTCCTCTTCAACCATAAGCGACGTATGTTATTAAGATTTTGGGAAATTTCGATACCATTCGAGTTTCCCTCGTTTATTGGACATTTAGCGAAACGTAGCTTTTATAATCTAAGTTTAACGTTGCTTTATAGTGTTCTCCTCGAAACGATGCATTCTGAATATTCATTGTTTCTTCTCTATCTGTCTCTCTCTTTCTTTTTTTTAATTAGTTTAATAAGATAATAGAGATTTTATGTACAACAGCGTGCAACTTGGATATTTTTCAGTTAAAAGGAAGTATACAGGAAGGAATATTCCACCACTTGCAGGATTCATCTATGTCCTTCCTTGAATCCTTCTTTGGATCCTTCTTTGAATTTTCCCATTCAACGTTCCCTCCAGTTTCTATTTAGACTTTCTTTGGATTCTCATAAAATTAAAGGCAATTGGTGGAAAGCTCCTATTCTTACGCTTCATCTTTAACCGGGAGAAATCTATATTGCAACCGAGTGTAATTTTTAACGCTATTAAGGAATTATATATTGTTTAAATCTTTAGAGTTTCGACTACAAATGTAGGAGATTCTCCGATTTTTAAACTTCTTCGGAAAAAAACTGTCTTTCCGTTGTATACGATCATCCAAGAATGTATGGTAAAATTTTGTTGAAAAAAGAACACTTAAACGCGGTTCAACAACTTAATCAGTTTGCGAGTTTAGAGACCAATTTGTACCCTGTGTTATTTTTTACTATGTCTCTCTTTATTGTTACCATTCAGTTCTTAACACATTCGCTATCAGAGTAACGAGCATGTTAAAATCTTAAATTGTTATTTCAATATATATAAAAAATAAACAAAGATCGTTTTGAACGATGTACGTGGCTCGAAATTATGTTACTTTATTCGATGTTTTGTAAAAACGAAAAAAGGAAAAGGTCGAGCACTGATAGCGAACTTGTTAATTGATCGTGAGATCTTGTTTCAGCGTGAATTTTATTGCTTGTTGTTCTAATATTAAATGGACAATTATTGCAAACGATCGAATAATATATATATATATATTATTGTTTCTTACTAGAACACCCTAATCAAGGGTACAATTGCATTATCGCAATTCGCTTGAACCGCTAAGACTGCTGGAATATTGTATATTACTTTTTCCGCAAATTTGATTTCAATCGCGTACATAGAATATATATTACTCTAGTCGAAATGTGTGCTATAATTCTCGTAACGAACACGGCGAAATCATTTCTTTCTTTTTATCTGTTCCATGTTGTTTGTTAATCAACGAAGGTGAGCTGCGAGTGATCTATTCATATACGCAGAACGTTCCTTATCGTAAAGGATATTTAATCCTGGAACAGAAAATTTCCATTTAAATTTGTTAATGTTAAGATAACGTAGAATTTGTTAATTTCAATAATTTAACAACAAATATTTATTCATTTTTGAATAAAATACGTTTTATTTGCTGACAAAGCGTTAAGCGGGAAATAAAAAAAAAAATGAAAAATATCGACGAACAAAAGAAATGAAAAAAATTAATTAAGTTTTAAAGAAAAAATATCCAGGAATTAAATATTTACATTCGCATGGTGCTCTAAATTGATACTTGGTAAACTACGTGACCATGTTGTTCTTGTTGCTGTTTGCGTACCTGTTCGGTTAATTGCACGTGGTTCTGTTTTACCAACTATTTTTAAATCGTGTTTACCAAGTATCGATATTAACGACAATACGCGCTTTCTTTTACGTCGACAAATTTTCGTATTGCTACGACGAGAAAGAATAAAAATTGTAAGATTTATTGTAAAAATCTTGCAGAATCGAATTAGTGAATTTCGCCGTAATATTTCTGAAAGAGGGGTAGTTGACCTTTTATTTGACGAGATAAAATTATTAAAGATGTGCAGAGTGCCTTGAATTTTGGGTCGGGTTGGAAAAAGATAATGAGATCACAGATGCAAATTAAATTTCGCCAAGTTGGATCGCGCGGAATTGAATTGTGTTAATTTGAATCATATCGATTTCCCGAGTTCGAGAATAAATTAGTAATAGAGAACCATTCTCACTCGGTATCCTCCGAAATTTCCAATCTCGTCTCAAAATTTTAAGATTCGCGCATCTCTAAAAATTACAAAACGAATAATTTCTTTTTTGTTGAAATAAAAATATTTTATGTGCAAACTTACGAGGAATCTTCAAATAAGAGGTTAACGTTTATCATGATGTTATTTAATTTCTCTGTTGCGTTCTTCGCGTCTGGAGAACCATTTTTTGCGAGTGATCGCTTTTGTTGACTATCCAAAGATGTAACTATTAACATTTACAGTTCTATCTTTTATATAGCTCGTTATGATTTTTTTACCATATATATGTATATATATGTGCATATCTCTTCATAGAATTTCATCGTGACAACGTAGTATGCATCGAGTTTCCATTGAATGAAAGTTGAAACGAGAAAAAAATGGATAAGAAAAGAATGTCTAGTTATTCGTCATTGCATTTGGCCATGTTTTTTGATTGTTATATTTATTCATTATTCTATGATAGGTTTATCACTGTTCTAGCGATCTGTTACACGACTTTTGAATCGAGCGATTTCGTGTCTGTTTCTATGGAAGAATGATTATTTTTCATGGGACAACTAGTACGGTTGAGATATTGAATTCGTGGTATATTTGCACACGCGTGCTTAGACAGTTTCGATAATAGACTCACGTTCACCATTTACCTACATTTTTATTTATATATTTTATCTGTGCATGAGTAGACGATTAAGGTAATTTTGCAAGTTAATAAAAATGAATGGTAAAAGAAGTATTACTTGGAAATTGTTTATCATTCTCCTCCTCTTTTCTTTTTGACAGATGTTTCTTTATGAAGTATCGGCAGTAGGTAATGCATGGATCTTCACACTAGTAAAATTATGTATACTTGACATATCGAAAACAATGTATATGAGGTTAGGTATAAAGTGTAAACATACTAATAATTTAAATGAATATAATATTTATTATTGAATTTAAATCATCATTCTTTACTTTCTTGGAAATATACTTCAAAGAAAATGCTGTGTTGATATTATAGATTAAACGTATCAGCAAAAATATCAGTATTTAACAAGTTAAAGTCAATGAAAGAAAATATGTCATCAAAGTTGAATGCTGGATTACCAGGTGAATTAATATATTGATACAACAAACTTCATGAGAAGTATTATCGTTTTTAATAATCAATATTTTCAGATGTTCCCCTACCACTTGCTTTACTAATGATTATTTTACTATCAATGTGCTTTGCCAACAGTTACAATGGAGAATTTGTATTTGATGATTCTGAAGCTATCGTAAATAATGAAGATGTACAAAATACTCCTCTGTGGGACATATTCAAAAATGATTTTTGGGGAACTAAGTTGACCAATAAACAAAGTCATAAATCCTATCGACCACTTACAATACTGACCTTTCGGTAAAATGCATTATACAACAAAAACTAATATATTTGAATATTTATTATAAATAAATAATTTTTGTAGATTACACTTTTGGCTTCGCAAAGATCTGGTAGCTCAAGATTATCATATAATAAATATTATATTACACACATTTGTTTGTATATTGACATTGGCAGTATTTAACATACTTTTGGGTAGAAAACAAAACAATATTGCATTTTTTGCTACAGCATTGTTTGCAGTTCATCCAATACATACAGAAGCTGTAAATAGCAATCAATTTGTTTATATTTTATGTATAAAGTAGCATATTTTAATGATTTAATTAAATACATAGGTCTCTGGTATTGTGGGTAGAGCAGAATTATTGTGTGCATTATTTATGTGGATATCCATCCTATGTTACCATTATTCAATTTATGCAAAAAAGTTAATACATAGGTGGTTTAGTATGTGTGGCTGTATTACATTTATTGCGATTGCTATGCTGTGTAAAGAAACTGGAATTACTGTAATGGTAAGGAACAAAAATAACTTTCTACTTATTAATATTATTAATGATAACAATAATTTTTTAGGGCATTTGTTGCATATATGATCTTATAATTGTGAACAGAATACTTCCAAGCGATTTAGTTGTATTTAAGATGAAACAATCTTCTTATGAGGAAATAAAACATATAATTCAGAGGAAACAAAAATTGTTAATTAGACTATTTACATTGGTTGCATCTAGTTTAATACTTATTTTTTCAAGATTTTGTATTATGGGATTCAGAGCTCCTACTTTCCAGCCAGTAGATAATCCAGCATCATTCATGAATAATATATTTTTACGAATGTTAAATTATAGTTATATTTATTGTTTGAATGCGTGGTTATTAATTTGTCCACAATGGTTATGTTTTGACTGGTCAATGGGCTGTATACCTTTAATTACCATTTATGATAAAAGAATAATTTTTGTTCTTTTATTCTGGTTAATACTTGGAACAATGTTTATGTATACTTTCACTTCCTGTGAAAATGAATATCTAAGGTAATTAATCAATTCTTACATGAATGTATTCTATTTTAATAAGAAAAATTAATTTTTTACAGATATTCAATAATAGGACTGACAATGCTTATTATTCCATTTCTGCCAGCTAGTAACATCTTTTTTAATGTTGGTTTTGTTTTAGCAGAGAGAACATTATACATTCCCTCTGCTGGTTATTGTCTTTTAATTGTTATAGGATTACAAAAGCTTTGTAATCGAGTTCCTGTACAATGTTTACTGTTTTTATATACAATTTTAATGGTATTATTTTTTACAAAGTCATGGATAAGAAGTGAACAATGGAAGACTGAAACTACACTATTTAGATCAGCATTACATGTTTGTCCTTTAAATGCAAAAGTTCATTATAATATCGCAAAAAATGCAGCTGACATAGGAAATTCGACACTAGCCCAATATGAATATCGAGAAGCTTTAAGGTATAAAAACTTATAGCAGCTGTATTTAAAAGTAAAAAAACTAATTGCAGTATTTGTTAAGTAGATTAAATCCCACATATGCTCAAGCTATGAACAATCTTGGTAATTTACTTAAAGATCAAGGAAAATATGAAGAAGCAGAAATTTTGTTCAAACGCGCTATCGAGTTGCAGTAAGTTTGACTATTCTTGTTGTCTGAAAATTTTAAGTTGTATATGCAGCATATTGCTAAATAAATTTTATATTTTAGGGAGGATTTTGCTACAGCATGGATGAATTTAGGTATTGTCTTATCAGCGCTTAAAAAGTATAAGGAATCCGAAAACAGTTATCTAACTGCTCTTTCTCACAGAAGTAAATACCCTGATTGCTTCTACAATTTAGGCGTGTTGGTTAGTAACCTAAACGTTAATTAATAAAATATAAAAGTAGTAATTTTTAACAATGATGATTGCAGTATCTAGAACAAAAAAGTTATAACAAAGCATTGAAAGCTTGGGAATCTGCTACTAGACAAAGAAAAACACATAGGAGAGCATGGACAAATATGATACTACTTCTTGATGATTTAGGTAAGTATACGAAAAATATTACACATTAACAATTGATATTGGACGATAAATATATTGTATTAATTGTAGGAATGCGTGAGGAAGCACTAAAAGTAGCACATCAAGCTTTACGTTTTCTGCCAGATGATGCTTCGATTCATTTTAACATTGCAAACATATTGGGTAAAGCTGGAAATTTTGTAGAAGCAGAAGTGCATTTTAAAAATGCGATATCGAAAAATCCTACTGATGCTATGTTTTATACGAATTTAGGCGTATTATATCACAGATGGAACAGATTTCGTGAAGCAGAATACATGTACAAACAAGCATTAGAAATTAAACCGGAATTAAATAGTGCAAGGAATAATTTAAGAAAATTGTATTCTTTAAAAACAGCAATAAAATAATTTATTTTTGTACAAAAGATTGAATTCATAAAAAAAATCGGGCACGTTATTTATAATTTTACTTTTCCTTTCACAGCTTCGATATTACGTGGGTATGCATATGCTTCGAAATTTCCAATCTTTTTACCATCAATGTAATTATAAGATTTGAAACATGTATCACAGAAATAACAAGGATTATGTGGTATTCTCTCATGCTCCATTGTAATCCATTGTGCATTGTATATACCACATATCATACAAAACTTAGAAGACATAGGCCTTAGTCTGAGTACCTTGGGATATACAGACACAGCTAAATCATCATCAGAATTAATCAACCTAAAAATAATGATATTCTGAATTGAAAACAATTACAATACGAATTCAGTTTGTTCATTACTGTTTTACAATATATCTGAATTACCTAGCATCACTAAATACAATCAAATGTTCACAGCCACCTTGATGTTTATATACCCATGGATAACCAAATCTTAAACACAAGCGATCTATTCGACAATCTTCCATGATAGCAGTTTTAAAAGGACCTAAGTTTGATCGCCTCTGTGCCCAATCAATAATCACTTTACTATAATCAATGTTTGTTGGGCACCTTGTATCATTATAAAATGTGTCTTCAATAAAAAAGAATCCTGATTTATAAACATCCTAAAATATATTTAAATATATACTTTATGTAAGTAGCTAAAAGATCTATAATAATAAATTACCTTTGCCATAGGTCCTACTGCATTATTTAAATTTTCACTACATTCTCTGGAAATAGTATAATCAGATATGCATGATATTTTATCTCGCAAATCTGCAAGTGTCTGAGAACCCAATATACCCAGTATATTATTTAATCTAAGTTTTGAACCACATTCCAGTTTTGGTAAATTTTTTGTACGATGTATGAAAGGATGATAAACTCTGACAGAAATAAGAATATCTTTACCAGGTACAACACATGGCCCAATTATTTCTTTTGCTTTTTCAGTATTCTATCAACAGATATTACTAAATGTATATTGAAAGTATATATTTACAGTTATGTTTGAATTGAAAGAGATACTTACTATAAATAATTCACTTTGATATTTATAACAAATTTGTCTGTTATCTTGGTTAAATCTTTTTCTTAGATTTTGAATCGTTTTTAAATCTATATCTTCTGGTTCTTGAGGATCAAATGTTTCTTTTTTCCTCATTTTTCTGGTATTAAGTAGTTTTGATAATTCTCCATCTACCGTTAAATTGTCAGTGCTAAAAAAAGTATATGATTTATGTTACTAAGAACAACAATATTATAATTATTGCTTATATGTAATACCTGCAATAATTTATTAACATGGACATTTCATCTTCTTCAAGTTCTACTCCCATTAGTGCCATAATGTCAGTGGTTTCGCTTTTCATTGACATAAAACAGCTAGTATACATTATTATCTTACTGTATTCATCAAAATATTCTTTTATTTGAATCTTTGGTGACGCATTGTTATTGTAAAGTTTGTATACATCATCCATTGTACTTTTACTAAAATATTTCTAACCCAAATTACATACGTCTTGTATATTTTTTAAATTAAGAACAATCATGCACTTGACGTTTGCTTGACGTTCAGGGTCCTTTAAATCAGTTGGTGTTTTATCGACTAGGTTCTCTTAACGTATTAAGTATATATTAAATGAAATTTCAGTCAAATACTGAAATTAAAAATAATATTAATGTCATAATACTAGCATATATTATTATTTTAACATTAATCATCACATTTGTATATCCATTTACTAAATCTAACGTCACTAAATATCTGTATATAAATATGTTTGTACATACAGAATTTCAGTTTTGCAATGCACCGATAGAATGCGCAAACAAACTTGTAATTTCAAGTGTTAACAACAGGTGGTGCACAGTAGAATAAATAAGAATTGCGAAGATTGCGATTTATTGACATTACTCACCGGTATAAAACAGATTGCATTTTGTAACTGTAACATAAAACTTGAAATACTAAAAGTATATTGCGTTATCTCAATATTTTTTGTTCACTTTATTGAAACTTTGATAAATAGATATCATTGAAAAATACAGTGATTTGAACTGTGTATAATTGTGTAAGTGACAATAATTGCGTGTGGAACAAATAAGTTACATAAAAGTAAATTACCTCCATCTCTACAGTTGTTACAGTATAGTCCTTACAGTAAGAATTGGCGGAAGTACATACTGTCATATTCTCGTATTTTTTAGACGCAACTTTCGCCAAAATTCAGTTCTTAAAAATGGTCAGTGGACGAGCTCTTCATTACGTATTTAAAGTACCGGATCGAAAATTAACAGCGAAGTTTTATCGTGAGATTCTTGGAATGAAGGTTGGTATTTTATTAATCTTAATTAGTAGGTATCTGATCGTACAGAATCTTTTGTTCTAGGTATTGCGACACGAGGAATTTGCTGACGGTTGCGAAGCCGCTTGTAATGGGTTTGTACTTATATTTAATTTCTCTCTTTTTTTATTTTATGTAATGTGTAATTATGTTCAAAGACACTTTTTCACTGTATCTTTTTCATGTTGTTTCACTTCTGTACATAGACCATATATATTTATTAATAACTGTCTTTCACATGACTTATACTTCATTGTATTATATACAGACCATATGCAAATCGATGGAGTAAAACAATGATAGGATATGGTCCAGAAGATACACATTTTGTAGTAGAATTAACTTATAATTATGGAATTAAAGAATATGAAATGGGGAATGATTTTCGTGGAATAACAATACGTTCTAAAGAGGTGCTTCAAAGAGCTCGTTCAAATGAGTGGCCTATAAAGGAAGAAAATGGAAAATTTATTCTGGAAGCACCTGGTGGTTACAAGTATTACATCATTGATGAACCACAACCTTTGAATAAAGGTATTACAGAAGAATTATTCTTATTACTATGTTGTCATTTGAAAATATTATTTATATTAATTCATGTCTTTTTGTCAGATCCTGTGGAGAAAGTAACTTTATCTAGTTCAAATCTTCAATCAACTATTGCTTATTGGAAAGATATATTACAATTAAAAATATTTAAGCAAACTGATAACAGTGTATTATTAGGATATAGTGAGGATCAAGCTAAGGTTGAGTTTGAAGACATTGGTATGCCACTGATATTGCAAGTTTATAATTAATATATTGATTTTGAGAGCTTCTGTGATCATAAAACTTCATAATTTATTTGACTAGGTACTGAAGTAAATCATGCAAAAGCTTATGGACGTATAGCATTTTCAGTTCCCTATAATGAACAGCCAGAAATTCAAAAAAGAATACAAGATAGTGGAAATAAAATACTAACAGACTTAATTACTTTAGATACTCCAGGAAAGGCTTCTGTAAGGGTCATTATTCTTGCTGACCCAGTAAGTAAATCTATAATATTTGAGTTATAAATTACATTTAATAAACAACATGAACAATCATAAATGATTATTTTAGGATGGTCATGAAATTTGTTTTGTGGATGATGAAGGATTCCGTCAGTTATCAGTACCAGATTATCCAAGTGAAAAAATTTTGGACATGTATATTGCTAAACAAGGCTAAATGATTGTTACACCATACAGTTGTTTTTTTTGAATGTGCAATAAGTATTGAAAAATTGAGTATTACCACAAATTTGGAAGGCTGTGTCAATAGAATTTTGTTGTTACAGAGGAATATATATGGTGGTGGTTTCTGTTATAAATTTTTATGAATAAACAATAACTTTTTATTATTATATTTTATAATAGTTTCTGAAATATTTGTTACATTTTTATAGGAAACATTTGCTAATAAATAATAATAATGACTAATAATAATAATAATAATAAGCAAATGAACCGTGTCCCGCCTAAACTAACGCGATGCAAGCGCTTGTATCAAAACGACCGCTCTGACGCATCACTGTTTTTACTTCGTCTCCCGCGTTGATATTTTGCTTTCTGGCGTCGTAAAAAAAACGGCGTTGCAACTTTCTTTGAATGCTTCCTAAACGTGAAAATCTACTCTACCGCGTGGTATAGTTCGATTTTCCACTACACTTTTTAATATAAATAGAAAAATATACGTAAAAATTGGTGCAAAATCTGTGTCTCTCCGCGTTCAGTGATTGTTTAAACATATTTAAATATTATAAATGCATAAAAAACGAATATCGTTGTATTCAGGAAAGTTTATATAATCTTTTGATATAAATAGAATCTTAGTATCTTTTATAGTTACCTAACAAAATTGGAATAAATTTGAAAAATGTGTTTTTTTTAAGTCTCAAATTTTTCAAAAATTGTACGTGCTAGTGATAAACTGGTTGCAGATTCGTAATCAGCATAAGAAAAGCTATAAGAATCATTGAACGGATATTGAAACGCCAATTGGTCGTTGAAAAGTGTAATTAATTAACAATTTACTATCTTTTAAAATATTAAAATTTTATATAACGTGTCATATTTTACAGTTTAATATTTTTAGAAAGTATGTAATTCTGAAAGAGGTTTTTATTAAAACAAAATATACGTTTCTCAGAAAGAAATGATCTTGTTATTACCAGACACTCTCATATCAATTTAGGGTCATTTACAATGACCCCTTACTATATATTCTGTCTATGAGAAAAATTGTGATAACACTGCATTTGCTGTGACAGAAGTTTTATAAATATAAGTGTGAAATATACGCATTATTCAGTTTTCTACAAACCACGTAATTACATGCAAGAGAAAACATGAAGTTTAAAATATTTTTGTTTTTATTCTTCTTTGCACTGTTTATAATTGGTAAGTATCTTTTTACTAATTTTATAATTTTGAGTAAGTGAACTACTATGTGTAAGTGTATATATTGTATAAAAGTGTTTTGTTTTAGATAATAGTAGTGCCAAATTCAGTTTTCCAAAATTTGGAAAATTTGGTGGAAAAATTGGTGGAAGAGCACCAAGTTCAAGTAGGATATCTCATGCATCATCAGGTAGAGTGACATCACATGGAACATCATCTAGAGGGTCATCACATGGAACATCGCATGGAACATCACATGGGGACATATCACATGGAACATCACATATAACAAGAACTCCAGTAAAAAGTTCAGGAGATTTCTTGAAAGCTGAAGGTGGAGGAGCTACAAGACCAGGTATATATTAATTCATGTCATTTTAATAAATAATATATTACTGCAGTCTTATATAAATTAAACCATATGTTCAAGTGAAACTTTCTTCACCATTATATGGAAATTCATTTCTAGTTGCGCCTCCCTCAACAACTAATCAAGGTCGTTTACCAGGAGTTGTAACTGACAGTAGACAAACTTCACCTTACCAGCCATCTGCACCACAAGACCACATTATGAAATCATCTGTAACCTCACTGCAAAATCAAGGTATAGAATGATATTTAGTTTTTTTAATTGTATCATTTATTACAGTTATTGGTTATTTCAACATATATTTTTCATTGCAGACAATAAACCAGGTCACACAAATCCTTCTTGGGGCAATCCTTACTTAAATAACAATAAACCATCTATACCGGGTCAACCACACACTCCATTGAGTAATTCTTATCCAGATATCAACAAGCCACCTGCACCAGTTCCTCAAGCACCCCCAATTGGACTTAAAGATCATGTTTATCCACCACCTATTCAACCTGGGCATCCACCTTATCCTACTGGAAATTCTCCTTATCCGGGTGGATATTCCCCAAATCCTTCTTGGGGTAATCCTTACTTAAATAACAATAAACCATCTATACCAGGTCAACCACACACTCCGTCGAGTAATTCTTATCCAAATATCAACAAGCCACCTGCACCAGTTCCTCAACCACCTCCAATTGGATTTAAAGATCATGTTTATCCACCACCTATTCAATCCGGGCATACACCTTATCCTACTGGAAATTCTCCATATCCGGGTAGATATCCCTCATATCCTTCTGGAAACGCTCCTTATCCTAGTGGATCTTATCGACCTACTGGAGGGTATCCCCATGCCCATATTCCTCACTCTCCGTGGGGTAATTCTTCGGGTACGTCTTTTAGCTCATTAGGAAATCCTTACTCGATGCATCCTCCTGGACAATCTTTCAATTCACCTGGACCATCTTATTATCCTCAACAAACCCATGTTTTTGCTCAACCAGCAGCACAGCCTTTTGTACCTGGTCAAACTGTTATAATGATGCCGGGGCAGCAAGATTCTGGTCGAGGTTTTGGTCAAATGGTTAAGGAAGCACTTGTGTTTTCAACTATCAATGCAGGAGTAAATAGATTGATAAATCCTCATACTCATTATATAGAAAGTAAACCAGCAGAAACTGCCCCGTCAACTACAACTCATATTACTTACAATAATCAATATTTTAATACTGAGCCTGGAACAATGAATTCCACAAATGTACCATTAGCAAATGTTCCTAGAAGCAATCCGACTTTAAGTGGGACTTCTGCTCCAGCTGAAGGGCCTAACAGTGGCCCTGTATTAGGAACTGGGAATACGTATGTTCTAAATATTTCTGGTAGTACAAATCCTACTTCAGCTGGAGTACCCAATTCAGCTGGCACCAATACTGGAGTTATTGGGGCTACATCTGGTGTAAATGGAAATTTATCTGCTGCAACAAGATCCAATGCATCTAATGATCAAAACAGTTCATCTGGATATCCCAGTACTGTCGATAACACGGTTTTCAACAGAATTTCTGATAAAGAATTATTTCAAATAACGGAAGAACTTTTTGCCAAAAGTTCATTCAACGTATCTAAATACTTAAAACTAAATCTTCAGAAACGTGTTACATCCCCTAATGTAACGGATGAAGCTAAAGAACCGTATGTATTTGATTACACATTGATTGTTGTTAAAATAATAATTAAAAAAAGAATGTGTAAGTTAACAGATAAAATAGACCAATATTTTCTTTTCAGTTTATTCGACGTAGATTCACAGTTGTTCGACTATCCAACGATACACGTAACACGATCCTTATATGATAGTTACGAACATGATTTTCGTAAGAAAATAAATCGTACTGTTGAGTTACGAAAAATGGAGGACCTTTTGATCGACACTTTCCTCCATACAAATGTTATGTCAACGGCAATGAATTGGTTGGCTGATCGTGGCTTTATTGACCCCGACGATTTTGAAAGAAAAGATGTACTTCGTCGTATTTGGTTCACCATGTTCAGCGGAAGTACCTGCGGATTCGAACGGGTATTTGCGTCAGAAAATTATGAGACAGCCATCATCGGTGTGCAAGATTGGATTTATTTTGAGAATCAAGAATCTTTAAACCGCATAGATTACATGGGATACGTAGATAAATTGGATTTAGGAAATGTAAGCGATTCAGTACATACAAACTCGGTATCTTTTATAAAAATATGCACATTTATTATGTTTATCGTATTTATTTCTTTTAGAGCTCTTCTTCGTTGGTGAAATTAAACTTCCAAATGAATGGAATTATAAGGCCCAACGCAACGATATTTGTGGGCACTTTGCCCGAGTTAGAAATGGCTTTGTATACTATCTGCTTTTATGCCCGGTCAAATAGTCTTTGCCCGGTTATGTTGGGCAAAACTCAGTTCAATATTTACACACATTCGTTCATATATTTCGGAAACGAAGTGATAGACCTCGGTCTTCCAATGTTCTAATACACGAGATATGTAGCATAAACGTAGTATACAGTTATAGACTAGAATTTAGTATGTATTTTATATATTTTGTACGTGATAACTGTTGATGATAATAAACATCGTTAAACAATTATGTAATGCGATATTAATTTTTCGTAATTACGCATTGCGCATATTTATCTATACGTAGAAACATAATGATTTTTTTCCTGCTTTGAAATGATTCATGTATAAGTAAATCAGTGTGATCTTGAAATTAAAAGTGACTCAGAATTGTCCTTTTAAATCTTCTTGTTACGGTACGATCTCAAGGCATTGAAATTTAACTTCTCCTAAAACAGAAAGAACAGAATTGTTATATACCGTGAATGAGCACAAATAAATATACAATCGGTGTTCGTCTAATGAACTAGTAAGACGAATACCGACGTTCGTTTACTTGTATTCGTTCGCGAATACTCATCCAGCCTGTAAGGGCCTTGAAAACTGCTAAAAATTAATGAACGTTCAGGTGCAATGTCCTTGCAGTCAGAAGTCACGGACGCGTTGTATTTTTTGTCAACAGATCCTTCTGCTAAATCCCTACCACCTGCTACACGTAAATGGATCAGAGATCGATTCGAGGAGAAAGCCTGTGACGTACAACTGGACGGCAGTTTGAGCTATGTTATAAAGTTACTTGAAAATTAATTTTTTCCTTCATCAGGTTAATGGCTAAATTTAATTAAAGGTACAAAGGATTAACAGTCGATTTAGATGTTGCGTCTGCCCCTTTTCCTATAAGCTACTCAATTCTTAACTGGTTTTAGAGTTGTTAGTGTGCGTCATTCTACGAGAAGTCTTTCAGTAACAGACTAGCCGTCGAACGGTGTGCATCAAACGCGACGGAGATTCTTAATCACACGAAGTTAAGTTGTATACAATAACCGAAGAAACATGAACATAAAGCTGCTCCTGATATGCACGATCTTTGTCTTGATCGTGTTTGGTGAGTAAATTCAATAATATGCAACGTTTCAAATTAAAGTTACAGCGAGATTGCAATTTAGTGCAATAACGACTTTATTCGCGTCATTTTCTTTCGTTTTTGCAATTCATTTGCTTGTGTAGAGAAACTTCCTTAGAAATGCAAGGTGTATCCAAGGTTATTAGTTTCTTGACTTATTAACCAATTGTTGCCATTGTTCTTGGTATAAAACAAGCGGTTTTCCTTGAGCGACTTCTTTCGGAATTTTCTCAAGAAAGACAACATAGTGTTTTCGAAAATAAACAAGTTTATCAGCTTGCAATTTTTTAGTAGTTAACTAAATTATAAGAACAAAACACGCGAGTACTTGATATTTCTTCTTAGAAGTAGTTTGTTTACTTCTCAGTAGTATATTCGAGAACAAAATGTTCCACGAACGTTTTAATTGGTTCTAATGCAGAAATTGCATCATGAACCTGTAAGCAAACCAGTTGATAGTACCAACGCATGCTTGATACCACACTTATTCACTTTGTTCATCGTTTGATAGCATTAAGACGATGTCGCAGAAACGATGGTTCTTCTAGAAAGTCATGACCGTACGTGGCTACTTGACATTGACTCATCAGAGAATTTTAACCAGTTCTACGAAGAAACCTGGCGTTCGTTCCGCAAACGTGGCTACGATAATCTGGTTTAGTTTTGTGGGAATCGTTCCGATGATGTGTTTCCTCCTCCAACAATCTTACTATTCAATTTAAGCGAACAATGTCTGTCTGCGTATTCTTTTAAAGGGAGGGCTTATACGAGCATTTTATTATTACTAATTTGTTAATATGCTATTTTATAAGCCCTCAAGGTGAAATAAATCGAAACCGGTTCTTAAAACAAAAATATATATAAGGTCCAGAACACTTTATTAACAAATTTTGTGTTCTCAACATTGCACCGAGTTCTTGCGGCTAAAATATTTAATTAACTTAGTGAAAGTTCTGTTTTTCATGGACTCTACTGCGAAAGGCATTTAGAAAATAATGTTTCATAAGTTCGTTTGTGAAGCATAAAAATCTGCCTGAGAGAATTGCCCTAATGTTCAAAATTGACTGAATGCATATAATCAGGTTGGCGTGGCAACGGTATATCATTATTTTATTCAGCGAATTACTAAATTGTCAGGGTTCGCAATGATCTATCGTAGAGCGATAGGCAGGCTGAATGGGTAGTGGGTAGAACTGTACGAGTCGCGTGACAAGCTTTGACACGTAGTAGCAATCATTTCCACCGATTATTAAGAAAATTGAAATATTATTCCTTTCATACGCTTTGATTTCATTTGATTCATTCCTAGCAGTATTTTATTGTGCACGATGCAACTGACATAACTACCTAGAGACTTAAATCACTTCTTTTATATTCCTCCTTGGAATATAAAAATTAAATTCTATTTTGAACGGCTTCAAATCTTTATCCGTTTATCTCTTGTCTTTGCTTAGCGCAAACTACAATTGTAGTTACGTCAATGCACGATATTTTGAATTCTGACGAGGCATTCTATGGTGTTGCATGATTCGACCACGTAATGATAGAGATGGTACACGGAGATTTCATTCGTTTCACGCTTCGTTTAATTCGGTAACCGGTGATTCGTTCACATTGTATACCTCTGTAATTTGTATAATATTTACCAAGAACCTGCCGAGATTAATAGATTTCTTTAAACAGTCGACATTGGAGATGGAAAATCGACTAGACGAAGAACCGGAAGCGGTGGATGGGGATTCGGATCGCGTTCGAGGACGACACCTCGTCCTCGTACGTCCCAACAATCGCAGAATACGCATAATTCGTACCAGCCATCGAATCAAGGTAATTTTGTACGCAATAAACTTAGTGTAAAGAGTTGTTTTGATACTCCGTAGCATAATTTATCAGTTAACGAGTAACACCTACTCCATTATCGATTATCCGCCCAGGCATTGAATTTCTTTTGAACCGGTAAATATATCAGTAAACTGACCCTAAGTTTTTTTTATAGGAAGTTCGAATATAGGTTGGAATATACCGGATAAAAAGCCGACTGGAACTAACACTGCACCTAAGCCATCTGCTCCTGTGTCCGAGCATGCTGCTAAAACCAGTGCGACGAACGTGCAATCTGGATATTCACCATCAGGTATTTCTTGCTTTTTAGACCTTGTTAACATACAATTTATAAGGTATTTAATATTCCTTAAAAAATCATGACTTTCAGGTGGATACCCTCGTCAACCAGCTAGCAATCCTTATCAAACGAACGCCAATCCACACGCGGGTCAGCCATATAATCCTTCAGTTGGTCAAGGTTATAATCCTTCGGTTAGTCAAGGCTATCATCCCTCCATGGGACAGGGTTATAATCCTTCAGTCGGAGGACACGTGCCTTATGGAGCACCGCCACCCTACTCCAGTAATCCATCAATTGGTGGAGGATATAATCCTGGCTTTGGACATCCATCTTATGGACAATCTTTCAGTCCGTCGATGGGACAAGTACCTCAACAAACGATTCTTGTACAGTCCGCATCGAAACCCGGTATTGGTCAGCTCGCAAAAGAGGCATTTGTCTTTGCTGGTGTAAGTGCCGGTGTGAACGCAGCCGTAAACAGATTGATACCAGGAGGAATCTATGGAACCAGAGGCAGTAGTTCCGACGGTGGAAGCGCTGGCCCACACACACAGATCACTTATAACAATTATTATAACAATGGAACTGCACCAGCTCCAGCTCCAAGTTCTGAACAAGCTCCTGCGGCTCCTGCAGCAGCCGCACCCGCAGCAGCCGCACCCGCAGCAGCTGCACCTGCAGCATCTCCAGCAGCTCCTGCTGCAGCTCAACCGGCAGCTGAGGCACCACAATCTGCGCAGTCTAACGCGGGCGTCAATAATGCACCACCATCTCAAGATCAACAAAACAATCTTAACCCTCTAGGGTATGTCACCTCTGACAGTGATCTCAAGAAGTTCACAGAGAGTCTGTTCGAGGAGGACAAGAATAACGCTTTCCAGCACATTACGGTAAAATTGCAAGGACAGAAAAAAGATGATAGCACTGCTGATGATGCTTCTGAACCGTGAGTATATCTATTTTTAGTTTATGAAACTGGGATGAAATTATGACATTATTAAGTTCGTGAACTTCCAGATTGCTGACCGTGAAAGATGAAGCTTACGAGATACCGACAGTAAAGGCACTGTTGCCCTTGTTAGACAACTACGAACTGGATGTGAAAACCAAGGAAACCGTTACTGCTGAGGAACGGAAAGAAGAATCTGAGTTACTTGACAAGATTCTTGAGACTGATGTGATGAAAGCTACCATGAAATTCTTAGCTGAGAAAGGATATATTCCGGATGACGAGTACGAATTCAAAGACTCTTTGAAACGCATATGGTTCTCTCAATTTAAACGGATCGATGGCGATGCATCAAGCTCTGGTTTTGAAACTGTATTTTTGGCTGAAAAGTTTGATCCAGATATAATAGGATTGCACGATTGGATTTACTATGCGAAGCAAGAAGCAGCTAACAAACTCAATTATCTTGGATATATTAAGGAAGTCAAACTTGGCGATGTGAGTAATAGTTCTGTGTCTAAAGATTAACAATAATTCAGAGATATGAAATTGTGTAAACGTTTTCCATGTTTTGATTTTACAGAAAGGAGCAGTCCTAAAAGTACGTTCATCGTTGGATGGAATAGTACAACCCATCACGACTATTTTCGTTGGTACATCGCCTGAGTTGGAATTCGCTTTATATACAATGTGTTTCTTTACTCGTCCCAACAATGTTTGTCCAATTTCGCTTGGAGGAGCAGAGTTTATGATTATTGTGAGCAGAGTCAACTACTTTGGAAAAGATATTTTGATTTCTGCGTACCCTGACATTTAACTTAATTGTAACAACGTAATACCTTTACATTGAGTATACAAGTTTTGTATAATGTGCTTTTATAATGAAATATGACCTAGTTAATTTAACATTACTTGTTAGCGAAGGAAAATCAGGACTTCAATTTTTATTATACATTTAATTGTTGCAACATATTGCGTAGTTCTATTAATGAATTTGATTTGCAACGTACCTCAGTGACCTTATGTCGTCTTTCTAATTCTGTCAGTTCTAATAATGGTATTATGGACGGTCGTCCATGAGCGCATCGAGTAGGGACTTTTGTTTTGTTTAGTAATTTCAAAAGCCACTTACATTCTTTTAATGTTAATGGATCTCCAAATTTTATGGCTCCTACAAAATACTCTTATATTACATATCAGCAAACGTATAAACAGATGAGATTATTATTCTATGAACGTCTATTGATGAAAAATACATATTCTACTTCTTTATATGTATTGTGTAATTTATTTACAATTAGTTATTTATTAATTTTTAAATATACAATGAAAAAAAAGTACCATGACAAGCTTCCATTGCAATGGCATTATGAATAGTGGGTGGCAGATTATTTGTTCCGTAATACTTATAAGTAGTTAAACTTTGTAATATTTCATTTACAAGAGCCTCCACATGTAACTTTAGCTTGAACTCATAGTATTTGTTCCTTTGTAAACACTCTGGTATTGTATATACTATCATAGTGTTATCATTTATTATGTTAAAACGTATCCCAAATTTTGTTAAAGTAACTTTATTTAATATTAACAAATTACACTTATCTGCGGATAGCTTTATTGCAATAGGATCTTTTAATTTTATGAACAGCAAGTAACTTGTTTGTGACTTATATTCTGAAAATAAGTTATGCAATAAACATCAATATTCTTTATTTGATCGGTTCTCGTATAAAGCCACAAAGTATATTTACTGTGAAGTAAGTTTTCGTATCTTATTCTTTCATGAACAGCATGTTGATCCATTAATAGTAGAATCTTTATATCATTCTGATTTATCAATCCTACTATCAACTCGTTATTTATTTGACCCAGTATCTGAAAATATGATCATCTTTACTACAATTGAATTTACTTACTATATTTATGAATTACATACTTTCAGAAACTGTAGAAATTCTTTCTTTAGTCTGAACTCACTAAAAGGTTGAGCAACTTTACATGGACGTATATCAAATTCTTGATGAATTAATGTATCTGGAATTAAATGTACAAAATGAAACAGTTTCAGCAAGTTGTTTTTTATGTATGAACTGAATATCTACTTTTCAAACCCGACTTCAATTTCATTGTAGAGTCATTTTCAAGCTCTTTCAAGATATCAATTTTTGTCAATTTGATATTGCCACGTAGCTGCTTATGGAGCTTTTCTGGTAAAAAATCAAAACGTTTATAAAACTCCATAAAGTTATTCCGAAAATGATTTATCCTAGATACTGTTTGTGTCTTTTTTATATTGCATGACTTTTTGCCAGAATAAGACCAATCTGACCATTCATATGGGCTCAACATTGTGAGCTCTTTATTAACATTGTCATCTTGTGAAATAGGCGTAATATCAATTATTTTATTTGTTGTTAATAATACTGTATTGCCGCTATCTTGACATAATTTTTCTTTGGTAATAAAATTGTCAATTCGTAATTGATTGATCGAAGTTACTTTAGATATACTTTCGTTATTTTTACGAGTCTGTGAAATTTTCAACTTTGTGACTTTTCTTTTAACATTATATATCGTGAGCCGTCTACGGCTCTTTTGCGATAAAGATAACTGAGGAATTGACACATTTTTCAACAACTCAGCAGTGTTCAACTTATTCGTGTAATTACATGGTAAATTCTTATGTTTTTTAACATGTCCAGGAATGTTATCAAAAAGAGGTGTAACATTTTTTGTAAAAATGTTCAATATTTCTTTTCTAATATTTTGTAATAATTCCTGAATGCTAGGTAAAATTAAAGTTTTCTTTCCATGTTCTATTGCAAAGATGTAATCAGTACATGTAACAAAAATTAAAACAAAGACTGTCTTTTTACTCAGTGCCTGTCTACAGTGTATTTTTGCAAAGCAGCTGAATGCATCAATAAAAGTTGCTGAAGTTACTTTCAAAATTAAAGGGCAATGAACTAGTTTGTTATTTAAAAAGACATGTTGGGTTGCATTTGTTTTAGTGTCAGACAACCCAACATATGCACAGAACTTAACATTCAATTCCTCCATATTCTGTATGTACCACGTATTGTGAAGTATTACTTCTTTTTTATATAATAATTTAAAAATATCTGTTGGATTATGTGGTTTAGTGATTATCAAAATAACTTTTTGTTCTTGATCATCCCTGATAGAGATGGAAACCTAGAAATAAAACATGTAATTTTAATTTTATGTCAAATAAAATTTAATAAATGTTATTTACCTGGGGATTAGCTATAGCAACATTTGCAATTAAATTACACATTAAAGGTAAGTTCCACTTGTTTAATGATAATTCATGGAATCCATGAATGCTTACTGTAGTACCATGTGAAGGTCTTCCTTGAGTTTTAACAATTTTTGGATTTTGATACACTTTAAAAATCTTTAAAGACAAACAACGATTAGTTTTAGTGTGAGAATATTTAAAACGGTTTTTGTTGCAATATTGTGTACCTTCATATATGTTTTGGACGAGTTACAGTGCCTAGAAATTATTAGAAGAGAGTCCGATAATTTACGAATATTTAAAATAGTCTGTTTTTTCAAATTACAAACATCTTGTACATTCCAATAGTTATACGGAATCTGATCATTGTATTCTGCAAGTATTTTCAATTTTTTTTTAGATATCCCTATGCCATTGTCAATTACTTGAATTTTACGATTTTCTGCGTGAATTCGAATGGCGATTGATGTAGCGTTTGCGTTTAAAGAATTCGACACCTGAAATAAAATATTTAGAAACTTATGTTTCGTTCAGAATTAAAATTAGAACATCTGTAGTACCAATTCCAGTATGCATTTTGTAATATTTGTCACATTTAATGTGCCAGCGGTCAGAGAATCCATTTTAAATATCAGGACAATAAATCCAATGACATAGAATTTCAAAATCCGATTTCGAAATCACCAAAACCACGAATTTCTGAATATTCAAAGTTTCAAATTCGAAAATTTGTCACAATTTCTGCTGGAAATGCTGGATTTCAATCACGTATAGTAAATAATCGAAATGATCGATTTTTGAAAATCGAATCAGCGCCATCTAACGGACTGCGTTCTTGGACTACTCCAATTATCAGGAGCGCAGAAAAGAAAAGGAGGTAGCCAACGAAAGAGGTATCTCATCAGAACTGCGCATGAGCAACAGGATTAAATACACCACTTTTTCAAAATGGCGCCGCATCGAATAAACAAATTTGGCACGGGCGTTTCACAAATTAGTAATTAAGTGAATAAACAATTAGTTTAAATAAGTTATGCACTGTATGAAAAGTGGTGAAAATAAAGAAATATTTATCAACAATCATTGTGTATTTATTGTTACCTAGAAACCCAACAGAATAAAAATTTACATATTCAAAAGAGAGAATTTGTATCAAGAGAACATGAGAATTCCTAGAATTTGACGTCAGCAAAATTCCAAGAAGTAGCGTAATAGATACCTCCTCATAACTTATGTTCTCCTGATACAAATTTTCAAAAATCGGTTGCTAGAATTTCAAAAATCGCACCCGGGAATTCTTGGAATTTGACGTCATCAAAATTCCAAGAAGTGGCACGAAGGATACCTCTTCACAACTTATGTTCTCCTGATACAAAATTTCAAAATTGGTAAGTGGAATTTCAAAAATCGCGCCCGGGAATTCCTGGAATTTGACGTCATCAAAATTCCAAGAAGTGGCACGAAGGATACCTCTTCACAACTTATGTTCTCCTGATACAAATTTTCAAAATCGGTGAGTAGAATTTGAAAAATCACGCCCGGGAATTCCTGGAATTTGACGTCACAAAAATTCCAAGAAGTGGCACGAAGGATACCTCTTCACAACTTATGTTCTCCTGATACAAATTTTCAAAATCGGTGAGTAGAATTTGAAAAATCGCGTCCGGGAATTCTTGGAATTTGACGTCATCAAAATTCCAGGAAGTGGCACGGAGGATACCTCCTCACAACTTATATTCTCCTGATACAAATTTTCAAAATCAGTAGGTGGAATTGCAAAAATCGCTCCACGGAAATTCTTGGAATTTGACGTCATGAAAATTCCAGGAAGTGGCACGGAGGATACCTCCTCACACCTTATGTTCTCCTGATACAAATTTTCAAAAATCGCGCCTGGGTCAGTAGGTGGAATTCCAAAAGTCGCGCCCAGGAATTCCTGGAATTTGACGTCATCAAAATTCCAGGAAGTGGCACGGAGGATACCTCCTCACACCTTATGTTCTCCTGATACAAATTTTCAAACTTGGTAGGTGGATTTTGAAAAATCGCGCCCGGGAATTCTTGGAATTCGACGTCATGAAAATTCCAAGAAGTGGCACGAAGGATAGCTCCTCGTATCTTATGTTCTCCTGATACAAATTTTCAAAAATCGCGCCTGGGAATTTTTGGATTTCGACGTCGTGAAAATTTCAAGAAGTACAAAGAATGTCTCCTCATAATACATGTTCTCTTGGTACAAATTCTCAATATTTTGTTTTTTATTTTTTATTTTTTTAACTTTAGGGCATTTTTTGGGAATCGGAATGACGGGATTTATAAATAAATACGCAAATACATGTTTTTATTCATATTTATTTTCAAACACTTTTGTACATCAAATGACATAATATATTTTATTAATAAATAAATACATTATTGACACTTAATTCTAGAACGGAATTATTATAATAATATGAAAACTGTAGGTTATGGAAGAAAAAGTGATGAATACATCTGTAAATCCGATGACTGCTTTTTTGTGCTGTATTAAGTGTCGTTCACATTAGGCTATTTTGGCTGGTACTTGCCTAATCTGAACACCCCCTTATGCAGGTTCGACGCAGCGCCATCTAGCAGTGACACAAGGAATTACAATGGAAACTTCGCTGATGGTATATTACCGTTGAAGTGTAATCAATTAATTACCGACAGAATCCGGTCGGTACTTTAGCCGCGTTCATCATAATTCAGCAGTTTGTTGTTAGATGGCGCTATTAACAGTATTTGTGGCAGGTCGAAACCCCATCCGCTAGATGGCGCTGATCGAATTTTAGCGTGTTCTGCGCCTGCCATATTTGAGTGACGTCATTCGTACCGCACATGGGCGGGAAACCTACTTCTCGAATGCCTCCTCGAATACCTCCTCGCTTTCCTGCGATCCTGTTACCAGGAGTAGCCCGAAAACACCAACCGCTAGATGGCGTTGATCGAATTTTACCTTGTTCTATCCCCACCCCATTTGAGTGTCATCTCTATTGCACATACGTACAAATACGCAGGAAAATTACTTCTCGAATACCTCCTTGCATTCATGTGATCCTGGTACCAGGAGCAGCTTAAAAGCACCGTATGATAGATGTACTGATCGAACCGGAGCAAGACATTTTTTCTGTACTTTATCAAATTTTATATTGAATTATTTTAATAAAATAAGAAACAAAATTTTTCCATTGTACTTGTATTAAATGACCCGTTCTTCATCCCGTTATAACTTAAAATTTGTTAATACCAACTGGCATGATATTACGCTGAGGAAAGGGTATTAAAAGAAACAACGTTTTTATTCGACGTATTTATAAAAATTTCTTTATTTTATTGCAACTACTGAAAAATTTTCACATGTCGCTGTCGTAACTTTATATAATTGTCAGAAACGATGACCGAATACTTTACACACAGAATACGTGAAAGATTTATATAATTCCTGTTTTGCTGTTTTATTCGACTAAGAGTATTCAATACAATTTACGAACGTCCAGTCGTGTGCAGAGGAGGAATAATTTGTAAATGATAATATTACACATAATTTCTGGATTTCATTGATTGTTCATATAAATCTGAAATATGTATATATTTATCGTATCATCGTAAATTTAATCCAACGTTTACGACTTGCTTTTGAAATCAGTATACTGTTAACCACGTTCTGGTAATCATAAACGTATCTAAATTACTTCGTTACATAGAAAACTTAACAATCGTGACGGATATGTCAAGATCTCTAATCTTGAGATTAACTAAATTTCATAGTTAACGTTTTTCTTTCCTTCCTTTAAGTTCATAATTAATCATCGATCTACGAGTTTCTCTTTTACAATCTATATAATCAAATACCGTTCTACATCATCGTTTTTAATCGTCGTCTCTTCACGCGAACATTTAACAAATGTAATTAAAGAAGCTTATAATTTATATAAAATACGTAATTACATACGTACATAGATACGTATACATTCCTCGCTCTGTAACTCGTCGTTAACGACGAACAATATTTTTACAATACAAATAAAAAAGATTCATGAATCGCATAAAATATATCATTATTATGTCAATTTCATCTAAAACACGTTACCCAGTGTTCTAACGCTTCAGCCGTTTACGCATTATATACAACAAAGATCGTAAAATATCCCTTAAAAACGTCTACTTTTAATTATTGCTATATATTTCGCGAAAAAAATCATGTTACACGTTTGAGACGGACTCGAAAGATCCAATGGAAAATTTTCTCCGGAAAGCAGACGTTTTCGATACACACTACAGCGTATTATAAGTACAGTGTAGTCTCGTTATATTGTCTGTACAGCGAATTCGTTTTTACAAATCTTCACGACACTCTTTCTTTTCCAATATGAGCAAGGAATTTTAAATGGTCAAATTTTCAAATTATTCAGAGTTCACATAACGAGGTTGCATTGTACGAGTAAAACAGCATTTGAAATAGAGAATAAACACAGAATAAAATTGATTTAACTTAACATCAACAGTAATGTTTCACCTATACAAATATAAAAACGTTAGATTCTGGAATAAATTTTTTTTAATTCACCGGTATTTTAAACATCGATTATCTATTACAAATACTGTTCTACGCATTTATGATCTTGAACACTGGTTGCACGTCGCCCTTTCCTTCGAAAACAATATGTGCAATCGTTAGCAAAAACACAAGAGATCAACGAAACGATTTCGCGAAAAAAAAGAAACGCCATTAAAACCATGGGCATAATATCCATGATCGAAACATACTTGTCGCGAAATTAACAGCATACTTAGTTCGCGCTTGAAACGATCTTAATTGATCACCTGAAAATGGTCGTACATCAAAATATCGAGGAAGCGAACAGGGGAAAAGATCGAGAGTAAGTATAAAACGAGTGTTTTACAGTTGGTGCGGCCAAGCGAGCTCGGAAACACAATATTTCGTATAATACTAAACTTAAGGATAACCTACGCATAGAAAAAAATATTGTAACGTCGAATTTGAAGCTCGCCGTTTAATAATGATATAATGGCTTTTATTGTAGTAAAATTATAGTAATAACAATCACATAATGGTGTTATTCGTCAACAAAGATATAACACGCATGTTTAAAAATGATGGGACATAAATAATTTAGACGCATCGTGTGCTTTGAAGTAGTGCTTAGAAATCATGTAACATTAAAAATATATATATATAATATATTTATATATATATATATAATATGTATAAACTGTTGAGTTATTTCCTATAAATATCTTCTAAAATCTGGCTTGGCAAATTAATCACTTAGAAACAAATTCACAATTTTTTAGTCATTAACTTTAGGCACCAATGGTATGCAGACCCTGTCTTTGGTACATACGACCGATTTAATTTTATCATATATTATTTGGACATAGAAGAAGACGTTAATTGGTTAGTCTTGTCTTCCGTCATTGAAGAATTCTTTCATTAACGATACACCAGTTGCTTCTTCTTCCATCATTTGTTCGTTACACATTGTTCGTTACATTGTTTCGTTTGAGTTTCAACTTTGTCCCAGTACGTTAGCTAGGAATTTAGATTCCTTTTTCCATTTTTTTAGCAACGACACAGTCCTCAGACACATCCAGTAACAAAAACTCAGTCTTCTTCCTTTTTCTCTGGCTTCAAATCTACCATTGCGTGGAGTTCTTCTGGACTGTATCTGTAATCGAACCACAGAAAAAGATTAATTTAATGTCCTTCTACCGATACTACCGCTGCCACTGTTACTACAACTTACCCTAAAAGACTTTGTAAGTCACAGACAAAGCGATAAACGTATCGTTTGCCAGCCGTTTTGTGAATGATGTTCTTATCGTAGTAATAACGCAGACCACGGCTCAGCTTCTCGTAATTCATTTTAGGCTTGTTTTTACGAATACCCCAACGACGTGCCACCTCGTCAGGATCCGTCAGCTTGAATTCCCAGCCGTCGCCGGTCCACGAGATGAATCCTTGACACGATTTGTCCGTTAACAGCTCCAAAAGAAACTGCCAGAGCTGAATCGGACCTGAACCGGTAAAGCAAGGTCCACTACCTGCAATATTATAAATATATAGATTAGAAAAGTGTTACATTTAGAACTGTATTCCGTAGAATGATTAGGTGCTTACTTGTATAACCAGGAATCATAGCGCTCTGTAGGAGAGGCTTCTGGTCAGGATTGTTGCCAATGGAGGAGGGATGATGAGGATTGGAAGAGTCCCGTGGTCCAAGGCCAGCCAGAAATGCAGGATGATGAGTGAGATGTTCGAGCGGGCCAACTCCCCACTGGTCACCTCCAACGCCGCCACCTCCACCTCCGCTTCCGCTTCCTGGAACCGTTTGGAATGGCGTCGCATCGTACTGTCCGTATCCACTACCCTCGCTGTATCCTTCATGGTAGCGACCTGTCGAAAAAAAAAACGATTAATACATTCGGTCGCGTGCCACCGATAAATCGTTTCTCACCTCGCGGATAGTTTTTGAACGGCGACGGCTGGTATTTCGGCTCCAGATGAATTCCACTGGTGCTGTAGAATTCCGGTGAGCTGTCCACGTTGTACGGATGAGGCGGCTGATGATCCTGCGGCAGACTGTGGTACTCGGAGGCTTCGTCGTAGCCGGAATAATGAGCCGGGGTCATGTAACTGTCCGTCGCGGACTGGCTGACCCTCAGCTCGCTTTCGTTGGTTCCTGTTGCTGCGAGATCGTTGCCGCTCGTTAATGCACCGCCACCTCCTTGAAGGTGTTCTGTTATATGGTGACTGCTGTAGTTTGCTGTAAAGAAATGTTCAAGTTAACGCAATCCGAATATGATGATATAAATTAACCTCTACTGGTAGAGGTAGTTCGAGCTGGCATGACTGGTTGCAAGTAAATTTACTTTACAAAGTTTCAAGATCTGATACATTTCCATGAGATTATTTTACACGATAAAGTTTATACTTACACTCCGTTTTGAGCTGATTCAAATTCCGTAAATGTATGTAAGCGCTATTCGCGTTGTTATTATTGTTGTTATTGTTGGTGCTGTTCGGAGTACTGGAATGAGAGTTTGGCGCTTGAGTAGTATGGCTATGGGGTGGAGGCGACGTTTCATCCCTCTGGTTCTCGTCTTGACATACGGGACTGCGTAGATGATTGTAGCCTCCTGGAACAGATAACGTTTCCTCTTAATCATAATCGTAATTTCAATTCTCGACAAACTACCCCGGTTTGCTTCTACAAGTACTATGCAGAATCGAAAAGATATCGTTTGGGTGTATCGCGAGTTCGATCGGTCACGTTGGTCACCCATCTCGTCAGGCGTATTATTTGATCGACACATTCGCGGTTACCAGTAAATTAGTAAACTCGAAATATACCCCCTATCTTTCTGTCGTCCCAAATGACATCACCCTAACCGTGTATAAACACAAAAAAAAGCAGTTCGCAAAAACCGACAATAGGTTCGGTCTCTCCGGAAGATCAAGTTATTCGACACAGGGTCGTCAGAAGTGTTAGCGAACTCTGAGGACTCTTCAGGTACAGTGGACTGAAAAGATCATGATCAAGATGAACCTGGAGGGTTAGGAGAGGTGTTAGGAGAGGTACAGAGTCTGTGGGGAGGAACCGCTGACACGTGGGCGGCGCGCATCTCGACGATTGGCTCGAGCGAACTCCGCCTATCCTCGACTTCCTTTCTCGAGCAGGAGGAAACCCGCCGTGCATGTCCATTACGGAGGCTGCGACCGGCTTCGTCCTCGTTCGATACTGCTACCATCAACAGAACACAACTTTGGAGCTGCTTCATGATCAAGGGTTGCGACCGAAGGGACGCAAAATTCGGGATCGACATCCCCTGGCTTCGAGTCTGAACTTCTCCACATTTTATCGCACTTGAGATTTTCAGGGGATTTGATGTCTGTCGAAATTTCGTAACTTCGGAGGTTTTAATGCTTTGAAACTTTCAGCCCTTGGGAGTTTTGAAAATAATGCAAAACAAGCTAATGTATTGTACGTTGCACTCGAGTGTGTCAAGGAGTACCCCTAGTCTTCAAAGTCCTTTTAATTCGATATACCGTGTAAAGATATTTACGATTATTTATCAGAATTCATGAACAACGAAGAGATTCCATATACACGCTTGGAGGCATCTGTTCTCGGAATTCTGCACCTCTTCTCCGTTGAAGGTGTGTCTGAACGAGTCTCGTGGATAATTACATTTCGTGGGAATTCAACATCGTTGAACGATTCTAATCTCTGATCGATCGAGGAGATTCGAGCCGTTGGGGCGAACGTTCGCGCAAACTGCCATCAAATTCGATGACGACGATTAAAAGCACAGGTTCTAGTGTCGCGTAGTTCGAACGATAGCCTGGCTCGTTACGGGTCGATCGTTTTGCTCACCTGGCCACCTGTTTTCCTCGCCGTTAAAAAGGATAAGTGTGGGAACGTCGGCTGGTCACACATATCGTGCACATTATAATTCCGACTGTTCACGCAACGCGACGCTTAGACGGCGGTGGATTATGATAATCCATGGAAGCCATTGTTCTGTGCGACGTTAAGGGAACAAGGGGCATACGTTGGAGGAACGAACGAAAGCAAAATAATTCGTCCGAGTGGACAATCGTTTGTAACATAGCAGAATAGACCAAAAAGTTAAGTACTTGAAAATATTTGTACTTAAAATTTTGCGCAAGAAGATAGAAGAAGGTATTATAACGTTATGGAAATTTTTGTCCGAAGATCAGATAAAAGATTTTTGGAGTTCGATACTGCTACCATCAACAGAACACAACTTTGGAGCTGCTTCATGATCAAGGGTTGCGACCGAAGGGACGCAAAATTCGGGATCGACATCCCCTGGCTTCGAGTCTGAACTTCTCCACATTTTATCGCACTTGAGATTTTCAGGGGATTTGATGTCTGTCGAAATTTCGTAACTTCGGAGGTTTTAATGCTTTGAAACTTTCAGCCCTTGGGAGTTTTGAAAATAATGCAAAACAAGCTAATGTATTGTACGTTGCACTCGAGTGTGTCAAGGAGTACCCCTAGTCTTCAAAGTCCTTTTAATTCGATATACCGTGTAAAGATATTTACGATTATTTATCAGAATTCATGAACAACGAAGAGATTCCATATACACGCTTGGAGGCATCTGTTCTCGGAATTCTGCACCTCTTCTCCGTTGAAGGTGTGTCTGAACGAGTCTCGTGGATAATTACATTTCGTGGGAATTCAACATCGTTGAACGATTCTAATCTCTGATCGATCGAGGAGATTCGAGCCGTTGGGGCGAACGTTCGCGCAAACTGCCATCAAATTCGATGACGACGATTAAAAGCACAGGTTCTAGTGTCGCGTAGTTCGAACGATAGCCTGGCTCGTTACGGGTCGATCGTTTTGCTCACCTGGCCACCTGTTTTCCTCGCCGTTAAAAAGGATAAGTGTGGGAACGTCGGCTGGTCACACATATCGTGCACATTATAATTCCGACTGTTCACGCAACGCGACGCTTAGACGGCGGTGGATTATGATAATCCATGGAAGCCATTGTTCTGTGCGACGTTAAGGGAACAAGGGGCATACGTTGGAGGAACGAACGAAAGCAAAATAATTCGTCCGAGTGGACAATCGTTTGTAACATAGCAGAATAGACCAAAAAGTTAAGTACTTGAAAATATTTGTACTTAAAATTTTGCGCAAGAAGATAGAAGAAGGTATTATAACGTTATGGAAATTTTTGTCCGAAGATCAGATAAAAGATTTTTGGAGCAACGATACCTGCGTTCGCGTAACAATTGTTCTTTCTCTCGTCTAGCTAACGGTAAATTTCAGATAAGATTAAAGAATTTCCGTCGACCTCCGTACACGCGCCACGAGAGAACAGATTCGCGTGTATTTCGTACCCCGACATCTTATCGTTCAACGTTCGACGAAAAATGTATAAATCTGCCTCGGTTAATCGAAACAGGATACGCTCTTTCTTATCTTCTTATCGGCTACCCGTGTAGAACGCGCTTTATCAATGTACATTTAATCGTTTAACCTAATTAAATAGTAGCTACCCCCCTCGTTGACGATACTCGAGACCCGTCTGCTACAATTATCGTTTATCAATGAAAAGTACGAACGGATTTCGACAATGTTTGCATAGTATAACTTCCTAATATAATACAGCGATGCACCCAGCAAAGCCTAGGGAGAGCACAGGGCTTCTCAAAGTTTCGTAGGGTGAGACTTTCGAAAACGGTCATTTTTCGCGACCCACACGTATTCCATAATTCCATGAATTTATAAATTGTTCAAATATTTCTAAATTTTTAATTTCCATCGTTGTTCTTTAATCGTAAGGAACAGCGAATAGACTCGTAAATTTATTATCTGCCGGTGTTTGAGTTTCCTTAACAACGAACCGTATTTCTTGCTGTCTTTTTATAGCCTCACCACGGGCACAGGATCTCACCATAAGAGAAAAGGTTCTCATGCTCGTGACCAAGTTGGTACGAGAACGAAGTCATTAACAAGCTGTAGGGGCCCTTGCGTACACCATATGCACAGTATTTCATCCCTGACTTTTGTTTCCTTCTTTCGGAAGACACGTTATTCGCATGACCAAATTTATCGTCGTTAGATCAACGCTTAAGTTCATCGCTAACGCGAGACAATAACCTCTAGTTTTTTTACTTCTTTTTTTAAAATCTGTTCGCGATTAAACAAACGTGAGGATGCAATTATTAACACAGACTAAAATTTTCAAACTTCAAATTTTGGTAATTGGGAACTCTTAAAAATTGCAAATTTTCAAATTTACGTACGCCACTTGATAAACTTGAAACCAAGTGACAGGATACTCCTTTTTATAGAATACAGCGGTTCGTTTCGGTGTATATAAAAAATATCTACTTCGGTTTTATGAAATTTTTGTAGGAAACAACGTAGCCTCCGCGAGTTATCGAAACCAAGTGACAGGATACTCTTTTTTATAGAATACAGCGGTTCGTTTCGGTGTGTATAAAAAACATCTACTTCGGTTTTATGAAATTTTTGTAGGAAACAACGTAGCCTCCGCGAGTTATCGAAACCAAGTGACAGGATACTCTTTTTTATAGAATACAGCGGTTCGTTTGTATATAAAAAATATCTACTTCGGTTTTATGAAATTTTTATAGGAAACAACGTAGCCCCCGCGAGTTATCGCGCGGAGTTAGTGCATGGGTTCTCATGGCCGTGACCAAGTTGGTCTGGAAGAACGGCACGGTTAATAGGGCCCAAGGGACGGATCCTTGCGTACACCACCTACACCTGCAGAGCACAGGCTGGTGTGTGGCTGCACCTCGCACCCTATTTCATGGACGGTGAGCGTGGGAGTGCAGCTCCGAGCCGGCCCTCACGGTGTGCACGCACACACGGTGCTACACACGAGCCTTTGCTTCCATCAGGTACATGTTTTCATGCTACCTAAATGCACCCTCTCTTCTTCATCTCCTTCCTTCCTTCCTTCTTCTTCTTCCTCTTCTCCTTCTTCTTCTTCTTCCTCTTCGTCTTCGTCTCGCGCCGAAACTATTCCAAAATTCCTGAGCATTCAGACTGCGCGCCTGTTCACACGGATGAACAATTGAGCCTGAGCAACGACTCTTTTCTCTCATCTTCGTTCGTCATTTTTTTTCATTTTTTCGGCTGGTTCGAGAATTTTTGCCGTCTGGATCGAATTTTGTGGAAATTTAGTAACATCGACCGTGTTGCAGGAATGTTATTGTCGGTTTTTATTAGTATAATTTAATCTTATTGGAATTAATCGTGGTTTATATCACAGGAAATGACTCATCTGTATTTCATTCTTTCGACAGCGATTATTGGTTGTTACTCGTTATTTGTTTCGTTATCTCGCATAAAATCGAAGTCACTTTAACTGATAAAATATACATTTTTTGGCTTCGAATTATATTTATGAAATTCGGGGAATTTTATAAATTAATCGGTCGACAAAGAAAATATTCCATAACATCGACTTCTGTGTATTAAGAAAATATTCGAAACTTCTTTACAAGCGAAGCAAACAGATTCTCTGATCCAACTAGAGCAGATGAAGGCTGTCCAGACCGTAAGAAAATCCCTAGTAACATGATTTATCGACATGGAAATGCTTTTTAAAACTTGAACATG